GGACACTTTTGTTTAAATGTTGAAAAACAGATTTAGAATCAATACTTTATAAATGTTGAAAAACAGATTTAAAATAATAATTCTGGTATAATATATGAATTTTACTCTATAAATTGGTCAGTAATCAAAATCGAAGCCCCTGTGTAATTGTCTCAGCCCAGAACAAACGGTTATGGAAAATTATGTTGTGCTATTTTTTTCAGAATGTTTGAACACAGGAGAGGCGGACCAATATAAACATTGACACTTCTAGTGAGTGAGAACACTTGGCTGTACAGTCAGCTGAAACCTGTGATATAGTATAGGAATTTTTTTTATTTTTTAGATACATGTAATAAACGTTAGGTGTGTTCCTTGATGGGGAGTGGTTAGTACACGGATGTGAACTGATAGTTCTGTAGTACGCTCCCGGATGACTGAAAGTTCAGTCTGATGATATAACTTTAATGTTTGTTTGAGCACGGTGTGGCCGGCTCTAGAGGACACATGGACTTGGCTAGTGAAGAGCCAAGAGAGTTTAATAGCTAGTTTTTGATGGTAGAGTAGGGACATGTTATTTAGCTATGTCAGTAAGGATAGGATGTATGTTTCCTGATATTGGAGGATTGCTGTCAGTTGACAGCTGAGAAATTTATGAAATATGAACATGTTCATTATGATGTTGGACTATTATTTGTCAAATTTTATTAGTTAGGTTAGCTTTTGTTTGTGGCATGAGTTGAATTGTGGGTTTGGATACTAAACCTCGTGAATTTTAACAAATTAACAAGGTTTACTAAGTGCTTGTGCGGGGGGGTTGTAACAAACTAGGCTGTTGTAAGAATTATCCAGAGTGGTTTATCGACAAAAGAGAATGGGAAGCTGAGCCGCATGGTGACCTGACCCCCAGGGGAATTCGCGGTGGAAATAACCAACGCTTTGTTCATAGCTGCGTATAATGAATCATCCTATAGTATTCAGTAATTTAGAGAAAATTAGCCTTTATTCATTTTGCATTAAAATTGTATTGTATAATAGTACTGGATACAATATCAAGAGTATTCTAATTATTGAGTTTAAGTCACCATCAGTGACGTCACGAATCAGATCTAACTTTTAAGGCGGAGTGACCGGCGGTCATAGGTCAGCAGGGTTGACATGTCTAATATTTCTCAAAGTTTTAATAACCATTTTTGTGATCGGGAACAGCTCTGCCGTTAGATGTTTGTAATTTAATTCAGTAAAATAATTCAACCAGTCTGGATCAATTAAGTACAACAGAGGTTAATTGTTATAACTTAAACCTTGCTAGTAACTGGGTAAGCTTTGACTGGCGGAAGGATACAATACTCTGTCTGGGGTAGTCCAGACAAGGAAAAAATCAGTGTGAATACGGGAGCAGCTGGGAGAGGTCAAACATCTTACCTCTCCCCAAGACCAGCCAACACCTAGAGCTGGGTCGCCCAAGGTATAGTTGCTATTGTTAATTATAGAAATAGTCTCTCATTTGCCACTCAGGTCAAGTAGGGAGTGTTAAAGTGATAGGGAGTGAACATATTTAGATTTTGTTTTAGTTTTCTTTTAATAAATTAAATTTGTTATTAATTTGCATTTTATTGTTTCCATGTGTTTTATGTGTATACTTGTCCTGGTCACGTGGTCCACACGAGGCAGAGTTGCATTGGGCGCCGATTCTAACATCGAATCGGAATTATCATTACCGTGTAATTTATTCCACACTCAAGGTCATCGTTTATAGTGGGGATCAAGCCCCTAGGTTGATTAATTAGCGTGATCGATCCAGACCTCGATCATTGCTCTTGTATTACTGGTCTGGTGGTGGCAGCAGAGGTGACTCTAGGGTTTTGTTCAGAGCTTAGGTCACGTCATACTGGGTGTAGAATCCTAAGTCGGTCAATCGTCTTAGGACCACGTGGCGTGGAGTTGGCTTTGTTAAAAGTTTTGGAGTCCCTTGGTTTAGAAATAAAAGTAAGAATACGGGTAGAGGGAGTAGAAAGAAGGAAGTAAAGAGAGAGGAACCCAAACCCGTGTTACAAATAAAAATGCAAATTATTAACTAATTAATTTATTAAAAGAAAAACTAACATAAAATCTAAAGATGTTCACTCCCTACTTGACCTGAACGGCAATGAATTGACTATCCCTATAAGAACTCATAAAGCAACTCTACCTTGGGCGACCAGCTAGATGTTCGTGCTGTCGGGAGGCCGAAGATGGTAAGGCCACCTGCCCGAGTTGTTTCTCAAACCACACTAATCTCTCCTCTCTCTGACAACGAGAAAAATAACGAGGTTTAGTATGTGCTTGTGCGGGGGGGGGGGGGGGGGAGTTGTAATAACAAACTAGGCTGGTTGTAAGAATTATCCAGAATGTTTTATCTACAAGGGAGAATGGGAAGCTGGACCCGCGTGGTGACCCGGGACCTGACCCCAGGGAATTCGCGGTGAAAATAATTGACGCCTTATCCATAGTTGCGTATAATGAATCATCCTATAGTATTCAGTAATTTAGAGAAAATAGTCTTTATTCAGGTTGCATTCAAATTGTATTATATAGTATTATTAGTTATAATATCAAGAGTATTCTAATTATTGAGTTAAGTCACCATCAGTGACGTCACGAATCAGATCTAAGTTGTAAGGCGCAAGTTACCTGGCGGTCATAAGGTCATCAGAGTTGACTTGTCCACTATTTCTCAAGGGTCAAATAGCCATTTGGTGATCGGGAACAGCTCTGCCGTTAGATGCTTGTGTAATTTAACTTCAGTAAAATAATTCAACCAGTCTGGATCAATTAAGTACAACAGAGGTTAATTGTTATAACTTAAACCTTGCTAGTAACTTGGTAAGCGATGTGGAACAATACAATGCTCTAGTCTGGGGAAGACCAGAGAGAGGACAGTTAGTGTGGTTTGAGAAACAACTCGGGCAGGTGGCCTTACCATCTTCGACCTCCTGACAGCACGAACATCTAGCTGGTCGCCCAAGGTAGAGTTGCTTTATGAGTTCTTATAGGGATAGTCAATTCATTGCCGTTCAGGTCAAGTAGGGAGTGTTCCAGTAGGGAGGGATAACCATTTAGATTTTGTTTTAGTTTTTCTTTTAATAAATTAATAGCTAGTAAATTTGCATTTTCATTATTTCCATGTGTATGTTATATGTATATGCATTTGTCCTGGTCACGTGGTCCCTACGAGGCAGAGTTGAATTGGGCGCCGATTCTAACCTCGAATCGGAATTCATCATTCCCGTTTAATTAATTCCACACTCAAGTTTCCAAGGTCATATATTACTAGTGGGGATCAAGCCCCAAGGATGATTAATTAGCATGATCGATCCAGACCTCGATCATTGCTCAGTGTTACTGGTCTGGTGGTGGCGGCGGAGGCAACTCTAGGGTTTTGCTCAAAGCCTAGGTCACGTCATACGGGTTGTAGAATCCTAAGTCGGTCAATCGTCTTAGGACCACGTGGCGTGGAGTCGGCTTTAGTAAAAGTTTTGGAGTCCCTTGTAGAGAATAAAAAGTAAGAATACGGGTAGAGGGGGAAAAGGTAGGAAAGAGCGTTCGGAACACCCTCCCCGTGTTACAACCACTGCTGCCACCACCACTGCCACTACTGCCACCACCACTGCCACCACCACCACCACTGCCACCACCACCACCACTGCTGCCACCACTACCATCAAAGTCACCACAACTACTAGTATCATCATAGAATCATCACCACTACCACTAGTAACCACCACGCTCGTCCCATTACCACATGAATTTATGAATTCAGGAAACTGCAGAAAGCCTATTGGCCCATATTAAGCAGCTCCCATCAGTCACGAAAAATCCCTTATGTATGTCTAATCTGCGCTTGAAACAATTTTATGTTGAAACATTTATAATGTTATTTATTCATCATGTCAGACCTTACACTTTGTTTTTCTAGAGAATATAAATTTACCTCTTCGTGAATGATTAGTTTGCCAGTTAACACCTGGTGGAGGAAGTTGGCCATGACTCTCATCTTTGGTGTGATGCTACACGGTTGATGAGCCTCACTTTACACCTGTGGTTACCTGCTCGTGTCCTCTCAGCTGGTGCTTCATGCCGAGTTGTTAATACTCTACGGTAACTACCACCACACATTCTGCCGTCTTCCTCCTACAGTTTCTGTGATGTTCTCCACGATTGTGATGTTGTCCAACATTGTGATGTTGTCCAAGATTGTGATGTTGTCCAAAATTGTGATGTTGTCCAAGATTGTGATGTTGTCCAAGATTGTGATGTTGGACAACATTTCGTAAATGTTTTTGTTACTTTACCTTGAGGCAGCACACATGCAGGTCGGTGTTCGATCCCCGACGGTACAAGTTCTTGGGCACCTTTCCTTCCCTCCTGCGAATCCCTGCTCCATGTTGCCACACACTTCCAAGTGCGACACAGTCACACAGGCTTAGCGCTGTCTCCCGGTAATCACCTTGAGGTGGTTCTGGTGATCAGGGCTGCTACTAACTATCTCACCAGCCCGTCCTGCTAAGCTTCCCAAACGTCACGAAACTGTCGTACTAAAGTGCCTTTAGCCTAACCTACCACAGGACCCAAAACAGAAAACGGGATAATATGTCAATTTCGCGAACCGCTCCCATTTTCTAGTACGACAATTTTTGGTCTTAAGTAGAGTATACGTCAAAATGCGACGTGCTATTATGAGGCCGGTTGACCTTCTGGCCCTCGCTGGCCTCTCCATGGAGGCGTAGGTCACCTGGGTTGTTTATTGTACGTGTAGGTGTATGGTTATACTGTGGGGGGGGGGGTGTATATCGGTGTATGACTCTAGGTGTATGACTCTAGGTGTATGACTCTAGGTGTATGACTCTAGGTGTATGACTCTAGGTGTATGAATACAACAGTTCAGATGTAGATGTGTCTGATGTGTCGAGCGCCAGGAGCTCTATAAGCGCCCACCCTTCCCTGCATGATGAACTTATAGGTGTTGTCTTTCAGAGAGAAGCGGTCCCTGAGCGCCAGCAGCGGTCCCTGAGCGCGAGCAGCGGTCCCTGAGCGCGAGCAGCGGTCCCTGAGCGCGAGCAGCGGTCCCTGAGCGCGAGCAGCGGTCCCTGAGCGCCAGCAGCGGTCCCTGAGCGCGAGCAGCGGTCCCTGAGCGCCAGCAGTGGTCCCTGAGTGCGAGCAGCGATCCCTGAGCGCGAGCAGCGGTCCCTGAGCGCGAGCAGCGGTCCCTGAGCGCGAGCAGCGGTCCCTGAGCGCGAGCAGCGGTCCCTGAGCGCGAGAAGACACACAGGACCGTAGAAGAGGTAGCAAGAGAGCTGCGCCGCTCCGCTAACAGCAGAAGGCAGCCATGCGAGGCTCGGCCCCTGTGGTGGCGCTGCTGTCACTGCTGCTGCAGGTGTGGACCTCTCACGCCCTTGGGGGCTACCCAGGTATGAACACACACACACCTGTCTGTAACCTTCACACACCTGTTTGTAACCTTCACACACCTGTCTGTAACCTCCACACACCTGTCTGTAACCTCCACACACCTGTCTATAACCTCCACACACCTGTCTATAACCTCCACACACCTGTCTATAACCTTCACACACCTGTCTGTAACCTTCACACACCTGTCTGTAACCTTCACACACCTGTCTGTAACCTTCACACACCTGTCTATAACCTTCACACACCTGTCTATAACCTCCACACACCTGTCTATCCCTCCACACACCTGTCTATAACCTTCACACACCTGTCTATAACCTCCACACACCTGTCTATAACCTCCACACACCTGTCTATAACCTTCACACACCTGTCTATAACCTCCACACACCTGTCTATAACCTTCACACACCTGTCTATAACCTCCACACACCTGTCTATAACCTCCACACACCTGTCTATAACCTCCACACACCTGTCTATAACCTTCACACACCTGTCTATAACCTCCACACACCTGTCTATAACCTCCACACACCTGTCTATAACCTTCACACACCTGTCTATAACCTCCACACACCTGTCTATAACCTCCACACACCTGTCTATAACCTCCACACACCTGTCTATAACCTTCACACACCTGTCTATAACCTCCACACACCTGTCTATAACCTTCACACACCTGTCTATAACCTCCACACACCAGTCTATAACCTTCACACACCTGTCTATAACCTCCACACACCTGTCTATACCCTCCACACACCTGTCTATAACCTCCACACACACGTCTCCGTCGAAGCAAACAATTGTGGTTGTGGTACTGGTAGTAACATCTGGCCGCCAGCCCGAAATATTGCGCCGTAAACTTCCTCAACTCATCACTAAGATGAGCAGCGTCCTAGACTGGTCCTGGTGACCACACACTCCCGTTTCCTGCCACACACTTCCACACAAGTCTGTGTGATCACACTATTAATTGCGATGAGGCGAAAAGCATTGCCAATTGCAATGGTTTTGTGGAACGGAATTTAATTGAGTCTGTCCTAATTAGTCAATGTCCAAATTTTCTCAATGTTAATACTGGTATGTACAAACTTGACCCAGTTTAAGTTACAATATTGTACAACAGTATAAGAAAAAACTATGATAGTTACATTGTCTCATAACAATATTATATTAAACCACAGGGTTCAATGACGCATTTTCTTTAATCTTTTATTCATCCTTTTGACCACTCTAAGCTAATCTATATCTTTTTCTGGTTAATTCTTTCCCCAGGAGATGGTGGTCAGGTCTAGTGTCTGCCTCCACTCCTCCTTTGTGATTTCTTTGTGATCCGGTGTTAACAAAGGCCCAGATCGGCCGAAACGTTCATCTCTCTTTCCCATTTCTCTCTGGATTTTCCGCATATATATATATATATATATATATATATATATATATATATATATATATATATATATATATATATATATATATATATATATATATATAATGTTTAGAATAAGCTGATAGTATAATGGAAGTCATAAAATGAAGTAATTAAAAGACATAATAATGTGAAGCTTTATAATCTGGCCATTGATAGAGGGTGGAGGTGAGGCCGCCCTTCACCACAACATGATAGAGGGTGGAGGTGAGGCCGCCCTTCACCACAACATGATAGAGGGTGGAGGTGAGGCCGCCCTTCACCACAACATGATAGAGGGTGGAGGTGAGGCCGCCCTTCACCACAACATGATAGAGGGTGGAGGTGAGGCCGCCCTTCACCACAACATGATAGAGGGTGGAGGTGAGGCCGCCCTTCACCACAACATGATAGAGGGTGGAGGTGAGGCCGCCCTTCACCACAACATGATAGAGGGTGGAGGTGAGGCCGCCCTTCACCACAACATGATAGAGGGTGGAGGTGAGGCCGCCCTTCACCACAACATGATAGAGGGTGGAGGTGAGGCCGCCCTTCACCACAACATGATAGAGGGTGGAGGTGAGGCCGCCCTTCACCACAACATGATAGAGGGTGGAGGTGAGGCCGCCCTTCACCACAACATGATAGAGGGTGGAGGTGAGGCCGCCCTTCACCACAACATGATAGAGGGTGGAGGTGAGGCCGCCCTTCACCACAACATGATAGAGGGTGGAGGTGAGGCCGCCCTTCACCACAACATGATAGAGGGTGGAGGTGAGGCCGCCCTTCACCACAACATGATAGAGGGTGGAGGTGAGGCCGCCCTTCACCACAACATGATAGAGGGTGGAGGTGAGGCCGCCCTTCACCACAACATGATAGAGGGTGGAGGTGAGGCCGCCCTTCACCACAACATGATAGAGGGTGGAGGTGAGGCCGCCCTTCACCACAACATGATAGAGGGTGGAGGTGAGGCCGCCCTTCACCACAACATGATAGAGGGTGGAGGTGAGGCCGCCCTTCACCACAACATGATAGAGGGTGGAGGTGAGGCCGCCCTTCACCACAACATGATAGAGGGTGGAGGTGAGGCCGCCCTTCACCACAACATGATAGAGGGTGGAGGTGAGGCCGCCCTTCACCACAACATGATAGAGGGTGGAGGTGAGGCCGTCGGTCACCACAACATGATAGAGGGTGGAGGTGAGGCCGCCCTTCACCACAACATGATAGAGGGTGGAGGTGAGGCCGTCGGTCACCACAACATGATAGAGGGTGGAGGTGAGGCCGTCGGTCACCACAACATGATAGAGGGTGGAGGTGAGGCCGCCCTTCACCACAACATGATAGAGGGTGGAGGTGAGGCCGTCGGTCACCACAACATGATAGAGGGTGGAGGTGAGGCCGTCGGTCACCACAACATGATAGAGGGTGGAGGTGAGGCCGTCGGTCACCACAACATGATAGAGGGTGGAGGTGAGGCCGCCCTTCACCACAACATGATAGAGGGTGGAGGTGAGGCCGTCGGTCACCACAACATGATAGAGGGTGGAGGTGAGGCCGTCGGTCACCACAACATGATAGAGGGTGGAGGTGAGGCCGTCGGTCACCACAACATGATAGAGGGTGGAGGTGAGGCCGCCCTTCACCACAACATGATAGAGGGTGGAGGTGAGGCCGTCGGTCACCACAACATGATAGAGGGTGGAGGTGAGGCCGTCGGTCACCACAACATGGTAGAGGGTGGAGGTGAGGCCGCCCTTCACCACAACATGATAGAGGGTGGAGGTGAGGCCGCCCTTCACCACAACATGATAGAGGGTGGAGGTGAGGCCGTCGGTCACCACAACATGATAGAGGGTGGAGGTGAGGCCGCCCTTCACCACAACATGATAGAGGGTGGAGGTGAGGCCGCCCTTCACCACAACATGATAGAGGGTGGAGGTGAGGCCGCCCTTCACCACAACATGATAGAGGGTGGAGGTGAGGCCGCCCTTCACCACAACATGATAGAGGGTGGAGGTGAGGCCGCCCTTCACCACAACATGATAGAGGGTGGAGGTGAGGCCGCCCTTCACCACAACATGATAGAGGGTGGAGGTGAGGCCGCCCTTCACCACAACATGATAGAGGGTGGAGGTGAGGCCGTCGGTCACCACAACATGATAGAGGGTGGAGGTGAGGCCGTCGGTCACCACAACATGATAGAGGGTGGAGGTGAGGCCGCCCTTCACCACAACATGATAGAGGGTGGAGGTGAGGCCGTCGGTCACCACAACATGATAGAGGGTGGAGGTGAGGCCGCCCTTCACCACAACATGATAGAGGGTGGAGGTGAGGCCGCCCTTCACCACAACATGATAGAGGGTGGAGGTGAGGCCGCCCTTCACCACAACATGATAGAGGGTGGAGGTGAGGCCGTCGGTCACCACAACATGATAGAGGGTGGAGGTGAGGCCGCCCTTCACCACAACATGATAGAGGGTGGAGGTGAGGCCGTCGGTCACCACAACATGATAGAGGGTGGAGGTGAGGCCGTCGGTCACCACAACATGATAGAGGGTGGAGGTGAGGCCGTCGGTCACCACAACATGATAGAGGGTGGAGGTGAGGCCGTCGGTCACCACAACATGATAGAGGGTGGAGGTGAGGCCGTCGGTCACCACAACATGATAGAGGGTGGAGGTGAGGCCGTCGGTCACCACAACATGATAGAGGGTGGAGGTGAGGCCGCCCTTCACCACAACATGATAGAGGGTGGAGGTGAGGCCGTCGGTCACCACAACATGATAGAGGGTGGAGGTGAGGCCGTCGGTCACCACAACATGATAGAGGGTGGAGGTGAGGCCGCCCTTCACCACAACATGATAGAGGGTGGAGGTGAGGCCGCCCTTCACCACAACATGATAGAGGGTGGAGGTGAGGCCGTCGGTCACCACAACATGATAGAGGGTGGAGGTGAGGCCGTCGGTCACCACAACATGATAGAGGGTGGAGGTGAGGCCGTCGGTCACCACAACATGATAGAGGGTGGAGGTGAGGCCGCCCTTCACCACAACATGATAGAGGGTGGAGGTGAGGCCGTCGGTCACCACAACATGATAGAGGGTGGAGGTGAGGCCGTCGGTCACCACAACATGATAGAGGGTGGAGGTGAGGCCGTCGGTCACCACAACATGATAGAGGGTGGAGGTGAGGCCGTCGGTCACCACAACATGATAGAGGGTGGAGGTGAGGCCGCCCTTCACCACAACATGATAGAGGGTGGAGGTGAGGCCGCCCTTCACCACAACATGATAGAGGGTGGAGGTGAGGCCGTCGGTCACCACAACATGATAGAGGGTGGAGGTGAGGCCGTCGGTCACCACAACATGATAGAGGGTGGAGGTGAGGCCGCCCTTCACCACAACATGATAGAGGGTGGAGGTGAGGCCGCCCTTCACCACAACATGATAGAGGGTGGAGGTGAGGCCGCCCTTCACCACAACATGATAGAGGGTGGAGGTGAGGCCGCCCTTCACCACAACATGATAGAGGGTGGAGGTGAGGCCGCCCTTCACCACAACATGATAGAGGGTGGAGGTGAGGCCGTCGGTCACCACAACAGAGGAACTCTCTCAGTGACCACAGGACACGACTGGGCATAGCAAGGGGGGGGGGGGGGATTAACAAGGTATTAAATATATCAACATAAAATAGAACTCGAAACAATGGACATAAAGTAAATAATTTTAGATTTAGAAACTGCCTGGGTAAATACTGGTTGCGGAACAGATGACCATGTAATAACCACTGAGGGTGGCCGTAGTGTTTCAAGCGCAGGTTAGACACATGAATGCTTGCTGAGATATAAAGAGCAGTAGCTCACCTGGCCCAACAAACTTTCTCCTTGTCTTCACTACTGTGCTCTCATGTATTTACCAGTATGCTAATTTGTTCCTAAGTGAAATAAACAATTTGTCTTGCAAGGAGTGATAGTGACTGATGGCGGCGCTCTCCTCAGGCACCTTCTACCAGATCATGCTGAGGTTCAACAAGGAGAGGAAGTACGCCAGGACGGCTCCCTCCCCCAGCAGGCTGTGGGCCATCCTCGACCCCGCCGCCTCCCTCGGCTCCCTCAGCCGCGAACCTCTTAACTCGAACCGCATCGTCAGGAGCGCTGCCTTCAGGTGTGTAGCACAGGTGGGAAGGTGTGGCAGGGAGGGTGTGGCAGGGAGGGTGTGGCAGGACAGGTGGGAGGGTGGGGCAGGACAGGTGGGAGGGTGGGGCAGGACAGGAGGGAGGGTGGGGCAGGACAGGTGGGAGGGTGTGGCAGGACAGGAGGGAGGGTGGGGCAGGACAGGTGGGAGGGTGTGGCAGGACAGGTGGGAGGGTGTGGCAGGACAGGAGGGAGGGTGGGGCAGGACAGGAGGGAGGGTGGGGCAGGACAGGTGGGAGGGTGTGGCAGGACAGGAGGGAGGGTGGGGCAGGACAGGAGGGAGGGTGGGGCAGGACAGGTGGGAGGGTGTGGCAGGACAGGTGGGAGGGTGTGGCAGGACAGGAGGGAGGGTGGGGCAGGACAGGTGGGAGGGTGGGGCAGGACAGGTGGGAGGGTGGGGCAGGACAGGTGGGAGGGTGTGGCAGGACAGGAGGGAGGGTGGGGCAGGACAGGTGGGAGGGTGTGGCAGGACAGGTGGGAAGGTGTGGCAGGGAGGGTGTGGCAGGACAGGAGGGAGGGTGGGGCAGGACAGGTGGGAGGGTGGGGCAGGACAGGAGGGAGGGTGGGGCAGGGAGGGTGTGGCAGGACAGGTGGGAGGGTGTGGCAGGACAGGAGGGAGGGTGGGGCAGGACAGGTGGGAGGGTGTGGCAGGACAGGTGGGAGGGTGTGGCAGGGAGGGTGTGGCAGGACAGGTGGGAGGGTGTGGCAGGACAGGTGGGAGGGTGGGGCAGGACAGGAGGGAGGGTGGGGCAGGGAGGGTGTGGCAGGACAGGTGGGAGGGTGTGGCAGGACAGGTGGGAAGGTGTGGCAGGACAGGTGGGAGGGTGTGGCAGGACAGGTGGGAGGGTGTGGCAGGACAGGTGGGAGGGTGTGGCAGGGAGGGTGTGGCAGGACAGGTGGGAGGGTGTGGCAGGACAGGAGGGAGGGTGGGGCAGGACAGGAGGGAGGGTGTGACAGGACAGGAGGGAGGGTGGGGCAGGACGGGAGGGAGGGTGTGGCAGGACAGGAGGGAGGGTGTGGCAGGACAGGAGGGAGGGTGTGGCAGGACAGGAGGGAGGGTGGGGCAGGACAGGAGGGAGGGTGTGGCAGGACAGGAGGGAGGGTGTGGCAGGACAGGAGGGAGGGTGTGGCAGGACAGGAGGGAGGGTGGGGCAGGACAGGAGGGAGGGTGTGGCAGGACAGGAGGGAGGGTGGGGCAGGACAGGAGGGAGGGTGGGGCAGGACAGGTGGGAGGGTGGGGCAGGACAGGAGGGAGGGTGTGTGGCAGGACAGGAGGGAGGGTGGGGGAGGACAGGAGGGAGGGTGGGGCAGGACAGGAGGGAGGGTGGGACAGGACAGGAGGGAGGGTGTGGCAGGACAGGAGGGAGGGTGGGGGAGGACAGGAGGGAGGGTGGGGCAGGACAGGAGGGAGGGTGGGACAGGACAGGAGGGAGGGTGTGGCAGGACAGGAGGGAGGGTGTGGCAGGACAGGAGGGAGGGTGTGGCAGGACAGGAGGGAGGGTGGGGCAGGACAGGAGGGAGGGTGTGGCAGGACAGGAGGGAGGGTGGGGCAGGACAGGAGGGAGGGTGGGGGCAGGACAGGTGGGGAGGGTGGGGCAGGACAGGAGGGAGGGTGTGGCAGGACAGGAGGGAGGGTGGGGCAGGACAGGAGGGAGGGTGGGGCAGGACAGGAGGGAGGGTGTGGCAGGACAGGAGGGAGGGTGGGGCAGGACAGGAGGGAGGGTGGGACAGGACAGGAGGGAGGGTGTGGCAGGACAGGAGGGAGGGTGTGGCAGGACAGGAGGGAGGGTGTGGCAGGACAGGAGGGAGGGTGGGGGGAGGACAGGAGGGAGGGTGTGGCAGGACAGGAGGGAGGGTGGGGCAGGACAGGAGGGAGGGTGGGGCAGGACAGGAGGGAGGGTGTGGCAGGACAGGTGGGGAGGGTGGGGCAGGACAGGAGGGAGGGTGTGGCAGGACAGGAGGGAGGGTGGGGCAGGACAGGAGGGAGGGTGGGGCAGGACAGGAGGGAGGGTGTGGCAGGACAGGAGGGAGGGTGGGGGCAGGACAGGAGGGAGGGTGGGACAGGACAGGAGGGAGGGTGTGGCAGGACAGGAGGGAGGGTGTGGCAGGACAGGAGGGAGGGTGTGGCAGGACAGGAGGGAGGGTGGGGGAGGACAGGAGGGAGGGTGTGGCAGGACAGGAGGGAGGGTGTGGCAGGACAGGAGGGAGGGTGTGGCAGGACAGGAGGGAGGGTGTGGCAGGACAGGTGGGAGGGTGGGGCAGGACAGGAGGGAGGGTGTGGCAGGACAGGAGGGAGGGTGGGGCAGGACAGGAGGGAGGGTGGGGCAGGACAGGAGGGAGGGTGTGGCAGGACAGGAGGGAGGGTGGGGCAGGACAGGAGGGAGGGTGGGACAGGACAGGAGGGAGGGTGTGGCAGGACAGGAGGGAGGGTGTGGCAGGACAGGAGGGAGGGTGTGGCAGGACAGGAGGGAGGGTGGGGGAGGACAGGAGGGAGGGTGTGGCAGGACAGGAGGGAGGGTGTGGCAGGACAGGAGGGAGGGTGTGGCAGGACAGGAGGGAGGGGGTGTGGCAGGACAGGAGGGAGGGTGTGGCAGGACAGGAGGGAGGGTGGGGCAGGACAGGAGGGAGGGTGGGGCAGGACAGGAGGGAGGGTGTGGCAGGACAGGAGGGAGGGTGGGGCAGGACAGGAGGGAGGGTGGGGACAGGACAGGAGGGAGGGTGTGGCAGGACAGGAGGGAGGGTGTGGCAGGACAGGAGGGAGGGTGGGACAGGACAGGAGGGAGGGTGTGGCAGGACAGGAGGGAGGGTGGGGGAGGACAGGAGGGAGGGTGTGGCAGGACAGGAGGGAGGGTGGGGCAGGACAGGAGGGAGGGTTGGTGGCAGGACAGGAGGGAGGGTGGGCAGGACAGGAGGGAGGGTGGGACAGGACAGGAGGGAGGGTGTGGCAGGATAGGAGGGAGGGTGTGGCAGGACAGGAGGGAGGGTGTGGGCAGGACAGGAGGGAGGGTGTGGCAGGACAGGAGGGAGGGTGTGGCAGGACAGGAGGGAGGGTGTGGCAGGACAGGAGGGAGGGTGGGGCAGGACAGGAGGGAGGGTGGGACAGGACAGGAGGGAGGGTGTGGCAGGACAGGGGGAGGGTGGGGGGAGGACAGGAGGGAGGGGGTGTGGCAGGACAGGAGGGAGGGTGGGGGAGGACAGGAGGGAGGGTGTGGCAGGACAGGAGGGAGGGTGGGACAGGACAGGAGGGAGGGTGTGGCAGGACAGGAGGGGGAGGGGGGGGCCAGGACAGGAGGGAGGGTGGGACGGGACAGGAGGGAAGGTGGGGCAGGACAGGAGGGAGGGTGTGGCAGGACAGGAGGGAGGGTGTGGCAGGACAGGAGGGAGGGTGGGGGAAGACAGGAGGGAGGGTGTGGCAGGACAGGATGAAGGGTGTGTGGCAGGACAGGAGGGAGGGTCGGGGAGGACAGGAGGGAGGGTGTGGCAGGACAGGAGGGAGGGTGTGGCAGGACAGGAGGGGGGTGGGGAAGGACAGGAGGGAGGGTGTGGCAGGACAGGTGGGAGGGTGTGGCAGGACAGGAGGGAGGGGTGGCAGGACAGGAGGGAGGGTGGCGGAGGACAGGAGGGAGGGTGTGGCAGGACAGGAGGGAGGGTGTGTGGCAGGACAGGATGAAGGGTGTGGCAGGACAGGAGGGAGGGTCGGGGGGAGGACAGGAGGGAGGGTGTGGCAGGACAGGAGGGAGGGTGTGGCAGGACAGGAGGGAGGGTGGGGGGAGGGGACAGGAGGGAGGGTGTGGCAGGACAGGAGGGAGGGTGGGGCAGGACAGGAGGGAGGGTGGGGCAGGACAGGAGGGAGGGTGGGGGGAGGACAGGAGGGAGGGTGTGGCAGGACAGGAGGGAGGGTGGGGCAGGACAGGAGGGAGGGTGGGGGAGGACAGGAGGGAGGGTGGGACAGGACAGGAGGGAGGGTGTGGCAGGACAGGAGGGAGGGTGTGGCAGGACAGGAGGGGGAGGGTGTGGCAGGACAGGAGGGAGGGTGTGGCAGGACAGGAGGGAGGGTGTGGCAGGACAGGAGGGAGGGTGTGGCAGGACAGAAGGGAGGGTGGGGCAGGACAGGAGGGAGGGTGGGACAGGACAGGAGGGAGGGTGGGGCAGGACAGGAGGGAGGGTGGGGGAGGACAGGAGGGAGGGTGTGGCAGGACAGGAGGGAGGGTGGGGGAGGACAGGAGGGAGGGTGTGGCAGGACAGGAGGGAGGGTGGGACAGGACAGGAGGGAGGGTGTGGCAGGACAGGAGGGAGGGTGGGGCAGGACAGGAGGGAGGGTGGGACAGGACAGGAGGGAGGGTGGGGCAGGACAGGAGGGAGGGTGTGGCAGGACAGGAGGGAGGGTGTGGCAGGACAGGAGGGAGGGTGGGGGAGGACAGGAGGGAGGGTGTGGCAGGACAGGATGAAGGGTGTGGCAGGACAGGAGGGAGGGTCGGGGAGGACAGGAGGGAGGGTGTGGCAGGACAGGAGGGAGGGTGTGGCAGGACAGGAGGGAGGGTGGGGGAGGACAGGAGGGAGGGTGTGGCAGGACAGGAGGGAGGGTGTGGCAGGACAGGAGGGAGGGTGTGGCAGGACAGGAGGGAGGGTGGGGGAGGACAGGAGGGAGGGTGGGGGCAGGACAGGAGGGAGGGTGTGGCAGGACAGGATGAAGGGTGTGGCAGGACAGGAGGGAGGGTCGGGGAGGACAGGAGGGAGGGTGTGGCAGGACAGGAGGGAGGGTGTGGCAGGACAGGAGGTAGGGTGTGGCAGGACAGGAGGGAGGGTGTGGCAGGACAGGAGGGAGGGTGGGGCAGGACAGGAGGGAGGGTGGGGCAGGACAGGAGGGAGGGTGGGGGAGGACAGGAGGGAGGGTGTGGCAGGACAGGAGGGAGGGTGGGGCAGGACAGGAGGGAGGGTGGGGGGGACAGGACAGGAGGGGGAGGGTGTGGCAGGACAGGAGGGAGGGTGGGGCAGGACAGGAGGGAGGGTGTGGCAGGACAGGAGGGAGGGTGTGGCAGGACAGGAGGGAGGGTGGGGCAGGACAGGAGGGAGGGTGGGGCAGGACAGGAGGGAGGGTGGGGCAGGACAGGAGGGAGGGTGGGGCAGGACATGGGGAAGGGTGTGGCAGGACAGGAGGGAGGGTGGGGCAGGACAGGAGGGAGGGTGTGGCAGGACAGGAGGGAGGGTGTGGCAGGACAGGAGGGAGGGTGTGGCAGGACAGGAGGGAGGGTGGGGCAGGACAGGAGGGAGGGTGGGGCAGGACAGGAGGGAGGGTGGGGCAGGACAGGAGGGAGGGTGGGGCAGGACATGGGGAAGGGTGTGGCAGGACAGGAGGGAGGGTGGGGCAGGACAGGAGGGAGGGTGGGGCAGGACAGGAGGGAGGGTGTGGCAGGACAGGAGGGAGGGTGGGGCAGGACATGGGGAAGGGTGTGGCAGGACAGGAGGGAGGGTGGGGCAGGACAGGAGGGAGGGTGTGGCAGGACAGGAGGGAGGGTGTGGCAGGACAGGAGGGAGGGTGTGGCAGGACAGGAGGGAGGGTGTGGCAGGACAGGAGGGAGGGTGTGGCAGGACAGGAGGGAGGGTGGGGCAGGACAGGAGGGAGGGTGGGGCAGGACAGGAGGGAGGGTGGGGCAGGACAGGAGGGAGGGTGGGGCAGGACATGGGGAAGGGTGTGGCAGGACAGGAGGGAGGGTGGGGCAGGACAGGAGGGAGGGTGTGGCAGGACAGGAGGGAGGGTGGGGCAGGACAGGAGGGAGGGTGGGGCAGGACTGGAGGGAGGGTGGGGCAGGACATGGGGAAGGGTGTGGCAGGACAGGAGGGAGGGTGGGGCAGGACATGGGGAAGGGTGTGGCAGGACAGGAGGGAGGGTGTGGCATTACAGGCAGCCCGTCTGCTTGTCGTGCCTGCTGGAGTACCTCATCATACCCCAACTGTCAACACTCACCATCGTATGGCAAACCATCTTATTACTAAGGATAAAGTACCTGAAACCCTTGCACTGTCTCCATGTTAAGCTTCCAGTAGGTCCATGACACATGAGGTTAAGGCACAAGCAGTGTAGTGTGAAGACTAATAATAATAAACAGCAGCTCTCCAGTGATCCTGGAACACTTCCATAGTTATACAGTGACATATTAGTGAAAAGGCCTACCATTAATGTATAATATTTACTTGTAAATACATAGCTATTTTAAATGGAAGAATTTCTGTAACTAGCTAACATTATAATTATGAGGTGTGCAGGATAGATGTAATTGTGATTGTAATAATCTCCGTTGAGGTCTAATAAAGATCTTTTGCGCCCTCTGTAATCCTTTTTGCGCCCTCTGTAATCCTTTTTGCGCCCTCTGTAATCCTTTTTGCGCTACCGCTCACAGTATGAGTATGGGGTGCAAAATAATCTTGCCGCCTCCGGTGGCAACACTCAATTAAATCTCCTTCACCCCCACCAGGAGCCCGGAGCCCCGTCAGCTGGAGGCGAGTCGGGATCCTGTTGTTGAATCCTCACCAGAGGACCCCGTGACGGAGGAGGTAACGGCCACGCTACAGACACGTGCCCCTCTGGAGGAAGCTGTGACACAGACACCTCCTGTGGAGGCACTTCAGGAAGCAGATCTGACACAGACACCTCCCGTGGAGGCACCTCAGGAAGAGGCTGTGACACAGACACCTCTCGTGGAGGCACCTCTGGAAGAGACTGTGACACAGACACAGACACCCCCCGAGGAGAGTGTGACACCCTCCGCAGAGGTGTCGCAGACAGTTGTTCCCGCAGCTGGCGCAGAAGATGGTCACATTGCTGAGTCAGTTGACAGCGCCGAGCCACGTGAGTACTTTTTTTTTTGCATGGATATTCCTGCACAGGCCCTAAGCCTATGGCTGGCTTATCAAGTGTTACTTGTTTCTTGTTTCTGTTTTACTTAAGCGGAGTATGAGTATTTATGACTTGCATGGTCGCTTCAGTAAGATTTTGTTCCACGTGTTTAACAACTTCTTCTCTGTTGAATATAAGTTGAAATCTTATTGGGTTTGTAACTGTGCACTGTGTTAGATAATGTTCCAGTGGTCTGTTGTGGCTGTAACTGTGCACTGTGTTAGATAATGTTCCAGTGGTCTGTTGTGGCTGTAACTGTGCACTGTGTTAGATAATGTTCCAGTGGTCTGTCGGGCATTTTTGCACAGTGCTGACATTTCTTTTCATCTTTCGGAACCTGTAAGCCTATTAGCACTTTGTGTCTCGCTCCTAGACGGGGTCCTGTAATTGCTCTCATTATATTCAGTCGTGATTTTACTTTCAACTTCAGATATTGAATTTACTTATTTAAAATCATTTTATAAACTATCCACACTCTAAGATATAGATATTGTGTAATCCACTGAAGGTTAATGTCTTGAATGCATAGGTGCCTGTCTGGAGTGTTGCCACTGAGTCTCATTGACTTAGACTTCTGTGCAGATATGTTAAGCCCTAAAATGCTGCATTCAGATGTTACTTTATCTAACGCCCCTTGTGCTTTATTTAGAAGTGAATGACCTGTAATGACTAATGCTATATCAACAGCAATTTAAGCAGTAAATTGCTTAGCAATTTAACCCCTTCTGCAGATGTCATGGTAACGAAGTTTTCCATAAGGATGTTAAAAAGGCAAGGACTGAGGACGCCTCCTTGTGGGGTCCCATTCTCAGGCAAGTGGTAGTCCGACACTTGTACTTTCAACTTTACTCTGGCATACCTGTGAAATATGCTAGGATGGATTCAAGATAATCTTGAATCCATCCTAGCATATTTCCCTTTACACCTTTATTTCCCTAAAATTGGTTGCGGGTTTGCAAGATCGAATATTTTTCCTAGATCAAGGAAGATTACTATAGCCGGACCTGAGTTAACTGTTCCTAGAAATGTTGCTATGCAGTTGGCAGTACCTACTCCTCTAGTGAAGCCAAATATGTGTTTATGCAGTTCTCCAGTCTTCCACAGTAGCCTAGTTAAGACCATCTGTTCTGCAGTTTTATTAATGCATGATGTTAATGAAATGGGTCTGTAATTGCCAGGTTCTTTCGGCTTTGGAATCGGAATTATATCTGCTTTCTTCCAAGAAGGTCGGTAGTTTGCCTTGCTGCCAAGATACATTAATGACGTCCAATATCCCTTGTTCTCCAGCAGGACCTGCGTGTGCGATCATTGAATATGTAATGTTATCAGCACCTGGTGCAGTGTCCTTACTGCAGTTTTTGGCTCTGATTAGTTCTTGTTTTGTGAAGGGACAGTCACATTCGTCATTTGTAGCTCTACTCTCATGAATAGTTCTCTATGTTCTCCGCTATCTTCTCTTGTTTTAATTATTCGTGCTGCCTTTTGACCATTGCAGGATGCTGATTTGAATCTGCTCTTTTTGCAAATTGGAGAGCATGTCTCTCAGCCTCCTGCAATAGTTGAATTCATGCCTGTGGTCGGGCTGGTCGACCTGATATGGTTTTAATCTGACCCCATATCTTGCCAAGACTACTATGTTCATTTAAAGTTTGACACCACTCAAACCATCTTGCCTCCTTTACTTAGACGAGTTTCTAGACGAGTCTTGAAACTTTTCCTGGGATAATGTTTGGAATAGCTTTGTTTGCAGCAGCTGCAAACTCAATTTAGGAGGAGCTCAATATTAGCCATATTCCCTGTTACTGCTAATACCTCTACTCCATCCCCATATGAAACTGGGTCTATTTTCTTGCTGGGTCTGGTGTTTCTGACTAGGGTCATTAACCCTCCTTTGTCTCCCCTGTTCATGCAGTATAATATATATATTTTGGGTTATATCCAGCTAATCTGAAGGACTTCGTGGCTGGGAAAAGTTTCTTCCAAAACGACAATATCTGCTTTCGTACTTATTGCAGCTTCCTGAAGGGTATGGTTTTTATTTCCAAGACCTTGTATGTTCCACTGCAGTATTCGTAATGGCCAGACGACGGTTTCGGTTGGTGTTACCTGTCCTAGTAGAACGCCTCCTTGGAATCGACCTCTATATTCTCCACCTCGCAAGTTGTGTCTGGGCAAATTGGACTGTACTGATTGCTCAAGGTCGTCCCCGGCATTGTTGGAATCTGTGCATTCCCTTTGTCCATCACTTTGCTGTTGGTATTGCTGCACATCGGACTGCATTGATTGCTCGTGGCATTTCTTGTGTTGCTGGAATCTGTGCATCTCTGTCATCCAGTATTTCGTTGTTGATGTTGCTTCATATCAGGCTGCATTGATTATTCATGCCCGCTTCTTGTGTTGTTGGAACCTGTTTATCTCTGTTGTTCAATACTTATTTGTTGATGTTGTTGCATATCAGACTGCATTGACTGTTGACGTCTGTCTCTTGTGTTGTAGGATTCTTTTGATCTTAAGTTGTCACTGCTTCTTGCAGTTGCTTTTGTGGATCTGTATGGTCTAGTGTCTTGACTACCCGACTGTTGTTGGTAGTCTGTATGTCCATGTTGCGTTGTTTGTCCTCTTGTGCTCCGTCTTGTCTCAGACTGTCTATTTCTTGTGTAACTGTGGTCTGCTGCACGATCTTGTCCATTATCACACAAGTGATGTCTTGAGTCTGTTGCTGTGAGGCGTTCTGCGTCATCTGTAGGCAATTGATAATGGTCTCTGCCATGATCTTCACGATGTTTTTCAGCTGGACCTCGGTGGTAAAACTGTATATTTGTTGTGTTGATTCCGAAAGTGATTGTTTTTTGCTTTTGTCTTTTGTTTTATTTCTGCAACATTTTTGTGTATTTTCTGATTTGGAGTTGATAGAACCAGGAAATTTTGTTCTGCGAGAATGGGTCTCTGTTGTGTCTGTGCACGAGTGTTCCAGACGTTGGTGTTGGTGTATGTGGTGCTGCTCTGTGTGTTGATCCTGGCCTGAGCTGTCTGCACCTTTTCTTTCCATGCAGAGCAGGTTGTGCTCCAGGAGTGATGTTTGCCTCCACAATTTGGACATTTGGCTGTTGTGGTCTGGTTTGCCTTGTGCTTGGCTATACAATCTTTGGTTGGGTGTCTCAGGCTGCACACTCCGCATCTCTCCTGTCCGGTGCAGCGTGATTGATGGTGGCTGTATTTCTGACACCTGAAGCGGCGCAGGGGTTCCGGGACATATGGTCTCTGTCGGTATGTTCCCCAATTTCCAAGACTGAATGTTTCTGGCACATGTCCCATGACGGTCATCAGAACCTGGCGTGTCGCAGCCTTGTCTACTTTTGTGCAGCATCGTTCCACATTCAGGATTTTCTTGTGTTTTAGTATTCTATCCAGTGGAAAGTCGACTGGGTATCCCCAAAGCTCGACTCGTGTGCATCTTTCTGAAGAGTCCAGCTTTTCCAAGCTTACAGGTTTCCTTTGCAGGACTTTTACTTTTTCTAAGTAATTTACAATCTGTTGGTTTCATAGTGTCATTATAATTTCTCCTTTCAGGTTGACCATAATGGAAAATTTGAGCTCTGTTTGTTCCTTTTTCATTGCCGTTACTACTCCATATGCTGTAGGAAAGGGGTCTTTCTGCATTATCTTGAATTTTGGAAGATGTGAAGAGTCTGACGGTGTCTGGTGTGAGACTGGTGCTGTCCTCTCCTGTCTCATACTGTTGTCCTGTGGCTGGGCTGTGGAGAGAGGTACAGTGTCTGACACTGCCTGATGTGTGACTGATACTGTCCTCTCTAGGTCCATTACGTCCGCTGTCTTGCTAGTAGAAGCACGTGGTGAAGCCTTGATAGCAGTTTTCTTCGGTGCCTGCTGCACCTCGGTCCACTGTCCCTCTTTGTCTGAAAGCTGCCTCCATTGTCTATCTCTTTGACTTCCCCATGACATCTCCACGTAGTGAGGACCGAATCACTGCCCTACCTAATGCCTGAGACACTACTAGGCATGGAGAAATTCATTCTCCTCCAATGGAGGTCATAAAATGATTCTCCCAGGTGGAATCTGGGATATCTAACACCTAATTGAGCAGTTTAGTCTATCTTTCCATGCACATTACACTTTCTAAGATGTCCTCTTGTGGCAATGTCCGCAGGGTATCGCCTTGTCCTTCAGGGTAGGACTCTAAGTGATCTGGTTAGTAATACAGTCCTCACAAAACAAAAAATATAATAATAATAATCGGTCATGGGTGACGATTGCAGTACGACAGTTTGGGTTGCCTGCATACTGGGTTGTGCAGAATACCAGTCAGCTGGACAGCAGCTAATCAACAAATGAACAATGTTGTTTGTCCATCAATTGTAGACAAAATCGGTATTGTTTCCAAAAAGATATTCTTTAGGTCTTGGAGTATTGATGTGCTCTTCCTCACAAAACTGCAATGATTATAGCTGATGGGTGCTCAGAATCTTAAGTTTTCCAGAGAACAAAACTGTGTGTAGCCAGTTAGTAATGGTGCCGACAACGAGTCCCACGTGATTGCATCATTGATTATTAGACACAGCGTTCGTCGGTAGCTGACGTTTCCGCTACTATACATCTCTGCCTGCCCTTCGTCATGGGCAGGCAGAGATGACATGGCTACCATGTGTCACAAATGCTACAAGGTCCGAGGAACACCCCTTGACAAGCTTGCATTCTCCAAGACAAACTTCCTGAAGCTCCTGAAAGACGTCGCTGGCGTAACACCTATCAACATCAGCCAGGAAGGCACGGACATCACATTCTACTTCTCGAGCATGGACGACCTCGACAAACTAATGTGTAACGAAGCTGCGTTTAGCACCACGCACCTCAATCTTACCTTTCCACGTCAGATGCTCGCCGAAAGAACCGTCTTTATCAGCGGGATCAGCTCTTGGATTACGGATTGTCAGTTAGTAACGATTCTAAACAACATAGATCGAGAAAACGGGAACATGATAACATACGCTGGCGAGATTTTCAACATGCACACTGTCGGCAAGCAACTAACCCTGAAGATAACCTTCACCTCCATAGCAAGGATTTTGCGGGACTACCAATCATGGTTTCCACTGCTTTGGCATCCTGATACTTCCGTACAAAGTGAAAATGGAGTGATATTACAAGATCAATCAGTGCTTCCAGAGCTACGAGTACTCCCACCTCTCCAATGAGTGTCAACAACCAGCCCCAAAATGCAACATTTGCGCCGTTAATCATTACTACACTATCTGCACGTCTGAAACTGAAATCTGCCTACTATGCAATGGCAAGCATCCGGCAATTTCCCACCTCTGCCCCCGCCGCTAAGACGTTATCAAGACTCTGAAGTCAGCCAAATGTACATCGACTGCGGGCACCAGCTCCAATGCCTCGGCTCCAAACCATCCACCCAGAAGCCACCTCATCCTTCAACGTTCAAGCCGCCCTTTTCCCGGAGCTTCCGGGAGGAAGAGGAGCCGCAAAACAACTTTCCAGCCAATGGAAGCCCTGCTCCCATTCTGTCAGCCACTCGCCCAGTCAACAATCGCCATCACCACCTCAAACTGACCAGTCACTGTATTGTACTGTGTTCACTTTGTCAACTGCAGCTAGCAAGATTACTTGCTCCAATCACCAAGAATGTGTGAGGATTTTGAATATCCTCTACACTGATAATGGTCTCCCAACCTTAACCATACCCGACGAAGTTTACATCACCTCTACTCCAGTCACGAGTTCTCCTCAAGATCTGGACCTAGTGTTGGACATCACTGTGAGCGCTGCAGCACTTACCGTCTTAATATCTGCAACTACAACGGCTGCTCCTGCAGCTACTACAACGGCTGCTCCTGCAGCTACTACAACGGCCGCTCCTGCAGCTACTACAACGGCCGCTCCTGCAGCTACTACAACGGCCGCTCCTGCAGCTACTACAACGGCCGCTCCTGCAGCTACTACAACGGCCGCTCCTGCAGCTACTACAACGGCCGCTCCTGCAGCTACTACAACGGCTGCTCCTGCAGCTACTACAACGGCCGCTCCTGCAGCTACTACAACGGCCGCTCCTGCAGCTACTACAACGGCCGCTCCTGCAGCTACTACAACGGCCGCTCCTGCAGCTACTACAACGGCTGCTCCTGCAGCTACTACAACGGCCGCTCCTGCAGCTACTACAACGGCCGCTCCTGCAGCTACTACAACGGCCGCTCCTGCAGCTACTACAACGGCCGCTCCTGCAGCTACTACAACGGCCGCTCCTGCAGCTACTACAACGGCCGCTCCTGCAGCTACTACAACAGAAGCAACTCTGAAGCCGAAGTCTTCTAAGCCATCAACTTCTGATACAGTTCCACCCATCATCTGTGAACCCACAGAACCTTTTATATCGGCGGCAGGACCAGCTGCTACTGCTGCTCAACCTTCATTGGATTCAGCTGACTCATCAGACGACATCTTGACTGGGACTTCATACTCTCCTCGACGAAACAACCCAAAGGACTACCTGACTGATGAAACCTCATATGCCAGTTTTACCTTTTCAACCTGCCTACATGAAGCCTGTGAAGACCGAAGAACCAAAGAAGAAGAAGTCAAACCATCAGTAGGATGAACGAAGAAAGAAGAATGCATCTATCAACACACACACTCGGAGACAGCACCACCATCAAGATTGAGCCCCTCCTCCTAGCCCTCAACTAGCCATCAAGCGTCCCTAGCCGCTAGGCAGCCTAGCGGTGTATAAAGAATGGAAACTACGACGTCAACTACCAATGAAGCGGCGACTTGAATCCACAGTAGATAGGCCATTGAACTTTTTGCCCCTCTCGACGCCGTCCTTTTCCTGTTTCCTGAGTTTTCGTCGTGGTCCTCAAGTTCTTCAGTCCCCAGCTCGCCAAACCCTTTGGTCCTGCAAGCTTCAAGAGTCCCACGTCAGTACTGACAACCGTTGTCTTTCTATTACTCTCAATCTATCCAATAGCTAATCTATCACCATGTACTGCTCTCTAATCCTTCAGCGTACCCAGCATTAAGGTGGTTCTATCGCCGTCTCCTCCAGGGACGGAGGCGTGTGGTGGGGACGTGTGGCTGCAGGAGGCGGACACCAACCTGACGGTGCAGGAGGGCGGCAAGCTGGAGCAGACGCTGGCCACGCCAGGCTGGGATACCGGAGAGTACCCTCAGGGCATCGAGTGCGTCTGGAACATTAATGTAAGTGCCTCCCATGACCACCACACTGACGCGTATGTAACTGTGTGTGTGTACTCACCTATTTGTGCTTGCGAGGGTTGAGCTCTGGCTCTTTGGTCCTGCCTCTCAACTGTCAATCAAGTTGAGAGGCAAGTTCTTTTTAATATCTCTGTGGCTCATTTGGGCGCTCAGTTTCCACCTGTGTCCCCTAGTGCGTGTGCCCCTTGTGTTAAATAGCCTGTCTTTATCTACCCTATCAATTCCCTTGAGAATCTTGAATGTGGTGATCATGTCCCCCCTAACTCTTCTGTCTTCCAGCAAAGTGAGGTTTAATTCCTGTAGTCTCTCCTCGTTGCTCATACCCCTCAGCTCGGGTACTAGTCTGGTGGCATACCTTTGAACCTTTTCCAGTTTAGTCTTATCCTTGACTAGATATGGACTCCATGCTGATGCTGCATACTCCAGGATTGGCCTGACATATGTAGTATACAAAGTTCTGAATAATTCTTTACACAAGTTTCTGAATGCCGTTCGTATGTTGGCCAGCCTGGCATATGCCGCTGATGTTATCCTCTTGATATGGGCTGCAGGAGACAAGTCTGGTGTGATATCAACTCCCAAGTCTTTTTCTTTCTCTGACTCCTGAAGAATTTCCTCTCCCAGATGATACCTTGTATTTGGCCTCCTGCTCCCTACACTTATCTTCATTACATCACATTTGGTTGGGTTAAACTCTAACAACCATTTGTTCGACCATTCCTTCAGTTTGTCTAGGTCTTCTTGAAGCCTCAAACAGTCCTCTTCTGTCTTAATCCTTCTCATAATTTTGGCATCTTCCGCAAACATTGAGAGAAATGAATCTATACCCTCCGGGAGGTCATTTACATATATAAAAAAACAAGATAGGATCGAGTACAGAGCCCTGTGGGACTCCACTGGTGACTTCACGCCAATCGGAGGTCTCACCCCTCACCGTAACTCTTTGCTTCCTATTGCTTAGGTACTCCCTTATCCACTGGAGCACCTTACCAGCTACACCTGCCTGTCTCTCCAGCTTATGTACCAGCCTCTTATGCGGTACTGTGTCAAAGGGTTTCCGACAGTCCAAGAAAATGCAGTCCGCCCAGCCCTCTCTTTCTTGCTTAATCTGTGTCACCTGGTCGTAGAATTCTATTAAGCCTGTCAGGCAAGATTTACCCTCCCTGAACCCATGTTGGCGATTTGTCACGAAGTCCCTTCTCTCCAGATGTGCTACCAGGTTTTCTCTCACGATCTTCTCCATCACCTTGCATAGTATACAAGTCAAGGACACTGGCCTGTAGTTCAGTGCCTCATGCCTGTCGCCCTTTTTGTATATTGGGATCACATTTGCCGTCTTCCATATTTCTGGTAGGTCTCCCATTTCCAGTGACCTACTATACACTATGGAGAGTGGCAAGCAAAGTGCCTCTGCATACTCTTTCAGTACCTATGGCGAGATCCCATCTGGACCAACAGCCTTTCTAACATCCAGATCCAGCAGGTGTCCAACATTTCCTTCGTTTGGTCATTCTGGCTGTTTCCTGTGTCCCTGTTGTGTCCTCCTGCCATTTTGCCTCTTGTCAAGAGAGAGAGAAAGCAAGAGAGAGAGAGAGAGAGCAAGAGAGCAAGAGATAGAGAGCTAGAGAGAGCAATAGATTGAGAGCAAGACAGATCAATAGAGAACAAGAGAGAGCAAGAGAGAGAGAGAGAGAGAGAGAATGTGTGTGTACGTGTGTGTGCATGGGATGGGGGTTAAGAGGAGGTGTGGTGTTGTCTGCAGATTACGGCAGGTAAGAGAGGGGGTAAGAGAAGGGGTGGATTATGAGTGAGGTTTTATCCCCTTTCCACGAAAGGTGTTAATCCCTTCTAGCCTGATTGGACGTATGTGTGTGTGCGTGTGTTTGTTTTTGTGTGTGCGTGCATGTGTGCTTGCAAACGTACGTGTGCGTGCGTGCGTGTGTGTGTGCGTGCGTGTGTTACGGGGGTCCTATAAAATGTCGACCGCTACCCAAAATGACTCACTTTGATATTTTAAATGTATCTGATATACTGAACAAGAATTTGGTAATATTTTACCTCTGTACACCTGAAGAATTGACCAGAGAGGGGGACCTACCTGTCAGCCTCCCGCTCACACAACCAGGTGAATAATTACGGTGCTGGATGACGAAGTGCTCCGTCGTCGCCTCCTACGTGGTGATTCACTAATCCAGTAGATTGATGATGGCGGTTCTTCTCTGTCTAACACAAATTTCTGGAGTCAGTCACTGTATCGGTGTGTCTGTTGTGTTACAGTTCACCAATTCACTGTACCACTGATCACTTAACCCAATATGTAAACAAAGCCTCGTGGGCCCTCCCACGTGGCCTGTCTGGTGAATTCACTGTTTAACACAAAGTTCTAGTGATAGCACTGTATTTTTTCTTTCCTAGTCGCGGCGGTTATAAGCTTTGTGATACCCCTAGATCTTTGATCTGTCACTGTAGCCTTAATTAACCCAAAAATATTGGCGATTATTGTAGCCCGTGACCCCAGCGACCCTCCCTCCGCGGCTGGCTGAACTGTGTGTGCGTGTGTGTGTGTGTGTGTGTGTGTGTGTGTGTGTGTGTGTGTGTGTGTGTGTGTGTGTGTGTGTGTGTGTGTGTGTAGAGAGAGAGCCAGTACGTGTATATGAGTGGGTGGAGTGTATTACTCATCAGTGTGAGTCCCAGTACCAGAAGTCTGTAAAGAGCCACAGATTCTGAGAGTACCTGGAGTACCAGAAGAGCCACAGGTTCTGAGAGTACCTGGAGTACCAGAAGAGACACAGGTTCTGAGAGTACCTGGAGTACCAGAAGAGCCACAGGTTCTGAGAGTACCTGGAGTACCAGAAGAGACACAGGTTCTGAGAGTACCTGGAGTACCAGAAGAGACACAGGTTCTGAGAGTACCTGGAGTACCAGAAGAGACACAGGTTCTGAGAGTACCTGGAGTACCAGAAGAGCCACAGGTTCTGAGAGTACCTGGAGTACCAGAAGAGCCACAGGTTCTGAGAGTACCTGGAGTACCAGAAGAGGCACAGGTTCTGAGAGTACCTGGAGTACCAGAAGAGCCACAGGTTCTGAGAGTACCTGGAGTACCAGAAGAGCCACAGGTTCTGAGAGTACCTGGAGTACCAGAAGAGACACAGGTTCTGAGAGTACCTGGAGTACCAGAAGAGACACAGGTTCTGAGAGTACCTGGAGTACCAGAAGAGACACAGGTTCTGAGAGTACCTGGAGTACCAGAAGAGCCACAGGTTCTGAGAGTACCTGGAGTACCAGAAGAGCCACAGGTTCTGAGAGTACCTGGAGTACCAGAAGAGCCACAGGTTCTGAGAGTACCTGGAGTACCAGAAGAGACACAGGTTCTGAGAGTACCTGGAGTACCAGAAGAGACACAGGTTCTGAGAGTACCTGGAGTACCAGAAGAGACTCAAGGCCCTCAGGTGCTTCACACTACAGAAAGATGTGCTCTTCAAACTTTATTGTTCAGTACTCCTCAGAATAAGATCACACAACCTCACATTAAGCTAACTTAAGATGTTGCCTCCCTAGTCAAGGTTAAGGAGTTTCATTGTAATTAATCAAATTGTATAACAAACAAAATATTCACATTTAAAATTCAGCTGTTAAGTGAAACAGGTGACCTTCCTGTTGGCTGTTATCTTGGCCCGGTCTGGCTCACACGATAACTGTTGCCTGTTATCTTGGCCCGGTTTGGCTCACACGATGACTGTTGCCTGTTATCTTGGCCCGGTCTGGCTCACACGATGACTGTTGCCTGTTATCGTGGCCCGGTCTGGCTCACACGATGACTGTTTCCTGTTATCTTGGCCCGGTTTGGCTCACACGATAACTGTTGCCTGTTATCTTGGCCCGGTCTGGCTCACACGATAACTGTTGCCTGTTATCTTGGGCCGGTCTGGCTCACACGATAACTGTTGCCTGTTATCTTGGGCCGGTCTGGCTCACACGATAACTGTTGCCTGTTATCTTGGCCCGGTCTGGCTCACACGATAACTGTTGCCTGTTATCTTGGGCCGGTCTGGCTCACACGATAACTGTTGCCTGTTATCTTGGCCCGGTCTGGCTCACACGATGACTGTTGCCTGTTATCTTGGCCCGGTCTGGCTCACACGATAACTGTTGCCTGTTATCTTGGCCCGGTCTGGCTCACACGATAACTGTTGCCTGTTATCTTCCCAAAACTTAGGAAGTTATAAGTTTTTGCGTCCAAATTTGGCGCCAATGTTGTGTTGTTGTGACTTTTGTTTTGACAATAAATATATTCTCACACTCAATTTTAAATTGAAGAAAATGAACGTTATATGCGCCGTTCTGAGCCCATAATGAATAAAATAAAAGTTGGCGAAATATTTAATTCGTCGGCTTAAGTTGAAATTGTGAAATTTTCAATTTTTTTAAAATTTATTTAGTTTTTTCCCTGTTCATCCAATGATATTGAACCTATGGGTATTTGACCTATGAGATTTATATTTATTTAATTTTTATTAATTTATATATAATTTATATTTTACGTTAATTTATATTTTGCGATAGCAAACCGTGTTTGCTATGTTCTTGCCTCTACTCAAAGAACACACAATGGCCTATTGATACCCATTGTGCCATTGATCCACTTGTTCGTCTCAGTCAGGTCCTGTACCACCCCATCCCAAGCGAATATATGGCATAATGGCATATATATATATATACATATATATATATATATATATATATATATATATATATATATATATATATATATATATATATATATACCGTGGCAGAGTATGGGAAATTTGTCTTTGAAAATGCAAGCAGTGCCTTGCAAAAAGTGCTGTACCCTGGGCTTCAGACCATAAATATAATGTGAAAGTGAACTTTGGAGAGCTACTTTTTCATCTTCCCTCACAATGAAGAAAACATAAAACATATTGAGAAGATTCGTGTTAGAATCTTTAATCTTACCCTTTTGATCATATTCAACTATATATATATATATATATATATATATATATATATATATATATATATATATATATATATATATATATATATATATATATATATATCTTGGGCCGGTCTGGCTCACACGATGACTGTTTCCTGTTATCGTGGCCCGGTTTCCTGTTATATATATATAACAGGAAACAGTCATGATAACAGGAAACCGGGCCACGATAACAGGAATATATATATATATATATATATATATATATATATATATATATATATATATATATATATATATATATATATATATATATATATATATATATATATTAAATATGACCGAAAAAGTAAGATTAATAATTCTAACACGAATTTTCTCGATGTTTCTTATATTTTTCTTCACTGTTGATGGTAATTGAAAAATCAATTCTCCAAAATTCATTTTTATTTTTGGAGAATTGATTTTTCAGTTACCAAATTCGTTATAGAATTATTAACCTTACTTTTTCGGTCATATTTAATAATACCCAAAATATACTAATATATATATATATATATATATATATATATATATATATATATATATATATATATATATATATATATATATATATATATATATATATATATATATATATAATATGTGTGTGTGTGTGTGGTGCAGGTAGGGACGGAGTGCCGTGCGGGGCTGCTGCTGTACAAGGTGCTGGAGGGTGAGGTGCGAGAGACCAGCAGGTGTTCTGAGGACTTCCTGGAGGTCATCCAACCTAATGGCTTCTCCACCAAGTAAGTCAAGATCTACCGCCCCTCATGTTATAGTTCCTCCTGTGGTGCAGCTGTGGTGCAGCTGTGGTGCAGCTGTGGTGGCCCAGGTCATGTGGTGCTCTCACTCCACCACTGTGGCAGTCCTGGCATACTGTACATTCTCGCCACCTCCCCCCCCCCCCCTCTCTCTCTCTCTCTCTCTCTCTCTCTCTACCTCTCTCTCTCTCTCTCTCTCTCTCTCTCTCTCTCTCTCTCTCTCTCTCTCTCTCTCTCTCTCTCTCTCTCTCTCTCTCTCTCTCTCTCTCTCTCTCTCTCTCTCTCTCTCTCTCTCTCTCTCTCTCTCTCTCTTCTCTCTCTCTCTCTCTCTCTCTCTCTCTCTCTCTCTCTCTCTCTCTCTCTCTCTCTCTCTCTCTCTCTCTCTCTCTCTCTCTCTCTCTCTCTCTCTCTCTCTCTCTCTCTCTCTCTCTCTCTCTCTCTCTCTCTCTCTCTCTCTCTCTCTCTCTCTCTCTCTCTCTCTCTCTCTCTCTCTCTCTCTCTGTCTCTCTCTCTCTCTCTCTGTCTCTCTCTCTGTCTCTCTCTCTCTCTCTCTCTCTCTCTCTCTCTCTCTCTCTCTCTCTCTCTCTCTCTCTCTCTCTCTCTCTCTCTCTCTCTCTCTCTCTTTTAGCTAAAACTAGGGTTCATGAGAACTGTCATGTGGTGTATCTAGTGAAAGTACAAGCAAGAGATGTTATCTATACCTAGAGACTCACGTATTTCACGAGAATATACTTTATATTCTAGTTGTATATAGGTATACGTGTATATAAGTGTGTCTCATGCTGTGTAATTACCTAAGTGTAGCTACAGGATGAGAGCTACGCTCGTGGTGTCCATACATGAGATACATGGTACATACATGAGAAACTAGCTGTTATATAGGGAACTATGATATAGGAAACTTAGTCAAACTGCAAACAGGCTGGGGATCCTACCACAGCTCGGTTGAAATCTACTCCTAAAGAATCATTTATTTTATGATAACAGTTTATGTTATATGCATCAGTAGGAATAGTTTTTATTCATTAACAACATTAGGTAACAATCATATAAGTAACAGGCTGAGCCTGTAGCCAACTGTGTGCCAGAGCCTTCATGTGATCACTTGACCTGATCTCCCGTGTATCAAACTGTTGAGTGAACAAGTTCCAGATGCGAGTCAGCCTGGGAATGAATGCTAGCTGATGGAGTTCATGAGAACGGTAGTTCCAGCATGACTAATGAGCCACGGAGTTGGGTCAGGTGCAGAACTTTGAGAATATTGGCTTTGTACATAAGAGTAAGACCACCAACGTCCCGACGGTGTTGCAGGCTCTGATGTTCAGACAGTTCCCACCAGACTTGCTGAACAATAAAGATGAGCTTTCTTGCACGGCTCTCCACTTTGTCCACTAGTCTGGTGAAGGATGGGGCCTGGCAATCCAGGAGACTGGTACATACTTTAAATAGCTTTACTGTGTTTTATTAAACAACTTTACTGTGTTTCATATAAGGTTTTGCAGCCGCAGCTGTCAAGAAGGTGTGAGGTGTAGGGTGACGCTGTAAGTCTCCTGGCTGCCTCTTGAGCCAACCTGTCCTCTTAAATAGAACGTCGCTTTTGGCCGTTTGCCCGTATGGCCGAATTTGGACGTAATTTGAAATTGAAAAAAATATGAAAATAAATTTGGGATTTTTTTTTTCAACAACAGTAAGTTAAGGGTCCTCTGATAGGTTAGGTGGGCAGGAAATTCTCATAAAGTTTCAAAACGTTATGAAAAACGTTAATTTAAAGTGTCCTCTCATAACCTCTGTGCGTACGCCGGGCGACTCAAATAGAAAACGGAACAGAACGTCACTTTTGTGAGTGGATTTCATTTCAAATTACGTCCAAATTTGGCCATAGTGCGCATACCAGCCAAAAGTGACGTTCTTTTTAAGAGGACGGGTTGCTTGAGCAGCCCCACCCACCTCACCTCACAATGTCTTCTGTTCATTACGATGTTGTAAGCATGACACGACCGCTGCCTCACCTCCCTGTGCCTTCCTCACACCTGTGTACACCTGTTGCTCCTCCCCACCAGGTACTGCGGGCCCCTGGTCAACAGGGGCAGGGCTGTGTCGGGCACGGACACCTGGAGCTCCGCACAGCCACGCACCACAACACTCCGCTTCAAGTCCACGGCACGGAGACCAGACCTTGCCACCTCCAGCAGCCCCAGGGGCTTCAAGATGGAAGTTACCTGTGAGTGGGTCAGACTAGCGGGGTCATGTTAGTGGTCAGACTAGCAGGGTCATGTTAGTGGGTCAGACTAGCAGGGTCGTGTTAGTGGTCAGACTAGCAGGGTCATGTTAGTGGTCAGACTAGCAGGGCCATGTTAGTGGGTCAGACTAGCAGGGTCGTGTTAGTGGTCAGACTAGCAGGGTCATGTTAGTGGTCAGACTAGCAGGGTCATGTTAGTGGGTCAGACTAGCAGGGTCGTGTTAGTGGTCAGACTAGCGGGGTCATGTTAGTGGTCAGACTAGCAGGGTCATGTTAGTGGTCAGACTAGCAGGGTCATGTTAGTGGTCAGACTAGCAGGGTCATGTTAGTGGTCAGACTAGCAGGGTCATGTTAGTGGACAGACTAGCAGGGTCGTGTTAGTGGTCAGACTAGCAGGGTCATGTTAGTGGTCAGACTAGCGGGGTCATGTTAGTGGTCAGACTAGCAGGGTCATGTTAGTGGTCAGACTAGCAGGGTCATGTTAGTGGTCAGACTAGCAGGGTCATGTTAGTGGACAGACTAGCAGGGTCATGTTAGTGGTCAGACTAGCAGGGTCATGTTAGTGGTCAGACTAGCAGGGTCATGTTAGTGGGTCAGACTAGCAGGGTCATGTTAGTGGACAGACTAGCAGGGTCATGTTAGTGGTCAGACTAGCAGGGTCATGTTAGTGGGTCAGACTAGCAGGGTCATGTTAGTGGGTCAGACTAGCAAGGTCATGTTAGTGGTCAGACTAGCAGGGTCATGTTAGTGGTCAGACTAGCAGGGTCGTGTTAGTGGTCAGACTAGCAGGGTCATGTTAGTGGTCAGACTAGCGGGGTCATGTTAGTGGTCAGACTAGCAGGGTCATGTTAGTGGGTCAGACTAGCAGGGTCATGTTAGTGGTCAGACTAACGGGGTCATGTTAGTGGTCAGACTAACGGGGTCATGTTAGTGGTTAGACTAGCAGGGTCATGTTAGTGGTCAGACTAGCAGGGTCATGTTAGTGGTCAGACTAGCAGGGTCATGTTAGTGGTCAGACTAGCAGGGTCATGTTAGTGGACAGACTAGCAGGGTCATGTTAGTGGTCAGACTAGCAGGGTCATGTTAGTGGTCAGACTAGCAGGGTCATGTTAGTGGGTCAGACTAGCAGGGTCATGTTAGTGGTCAGACTAGCAGGGTCATGTTAGTGGGTCAGACTAGCAGGGTCATGTTAGTGGTCAGACTAACGGGGTCATGTTAGTGGTCAGACTAACGGGGTCATGTTAGTGGTCAGACTAGCAGGGTCATGTTAGTGGTCAGACTAGCAGGGTCATGTTAGTGGTCAGACTAGCAGGGTCATGTCAGTGGGTCAGACTAGCAGGGTCGTGTTAGTGGTCAGACTAGCAGGGTCATGTTAGTGGACAGACTAGCAGGGTCATGTTAGTGGTCAGACTAGCAGGGTCATGTTAGTGGTCAGACTAGCAGGGTCATGTTAGTGGTCAGACTAGCAGGGTCATGTTAGTGGACAGACTAGCAGGGTCATGTTAGTGGTCAGACTAGCAGGGTCATGTTAGTGGTCAGACTAGCAGGGTCATGTTAGTGGGGAGACTAGCAGGGTCATGTTAGTGGTGAGACTAGCAGGGTCATGTTAGTGGTGAGACTAGCAGGGTCATGTTAGTGGTGAGACTAGCAGGGTCATGTTAGTGGTCAGACTAGCAGGGTCATGTTAGTGGTCAGACTAGCAGGGTCATGTTAGTGGTCAGACTAGCAGGGTCATGTTAGTGGTCAGACTAGCAGGGTCATGTTAGTGGGTCAGACTAGCAGGGTCATGTTAGTGGTCAGACTAGCAGGATCATGTTAGTGGACAGACTAGCAGGGTCATGTTAGTGGTCAGACTAGCAGGGTCATGTTAGTGGTCAGACTAGCAGGGTCATGTTAGTGGACAGACTAGCAGGGTCATGTTAGTGGTCAGACTAGCAGGGTCATGTTAATGGGTCAGACTAGCAGGGTCATGTTAGTGGTCAGACTAGCAGGGTCATGTTAGTGGTCAGACTAGCAGGGTCATGTTAGTGGACAGACTAGCAGGGTCATGTTAGTGGTCAGACTAGCAGAGTCATGTTAGTGGTCAGACTAGCAGGGTCATGTTAGTGGTCAGACTAGCAGGGTCATGTTAGTGGTCAGACTAGCAGGGTCATGTTAGTGGTCAGACTAGCAGGGTCATGTTAGTGGTCAGACTAGCAGGGTCATGTTAGTGGACAGACTAGCAGGGTCATGTTAGTGGTCAGACTAGCAGAGTCATGTTAGTGGTCAGACTAGCAGGGTCATGTTAGTGGTCAGACTAGCAGGGTCATGTTAGTGGTCAGACTAGCAGGGTCATGTTAGTGGTCAGACTAGCAGGGTCATGTTAGTGGTCAGACTAGCAGGGTCATGTTAGTGGTCAGACTAGCAGGGTCATGTTAGTGGTCAGACTAGCAGGGTCATGTTAGTGGTCAGACTAGCAGGGTCATGTTAGTGGTCAGACTAGCAGGGTCATGTTAGTGGTCAGACTAGCAGGGTCATGTTAGTGGTCAGACTAGCAGGGTCATGTTAGTGGTCAGACTAGCAGGGTCATGTTAGTGGTCAGACTAGCAGGGTCATGTTAGTGGTCAGACTAGCAGGGTCATGTTAGTGGTCAGACTAGCAGGGTCATGTTAGTGGGTCAGACTAGCAGGGTCATGTTAGTGGGTCAGACTAGCAGGGTCATGTTAGTGGGTCAGACTAGCAGGGTCATGTTAGTGGTCAGACTAGCGGGGTCATGTTAGTGGTCAGACTAGCAGGGTCATGTTAGTGGGTCAGACTAGCAGGGTCATGTTAGTGGTCAGACTAGCGGGGTCATGTTAGTGGTCAGACTAGAAGGGTCATGTTAGTGCTCAGACTAGCAGGGTCATGTTAGTGGTCAGACTAGCAGGGTCATGTTAGTGTTCAGACTACCAGGGTCATGTTAGTGGGTCAAACTAGCAGGGTCATGTTAATGGGTCAGACTAGCAGGGTCATGTTAGTGGTCAGACTAGCAGGGTCATGTTAGTGGTCAGACTAGCGGGGTCATGTTAGTGGTCAGACTAGAAGGGTCATGTTAGTGGTCAGAGTAGCAGGGTCATGTTAGTGGTCAGACTAGCAGGGTCATGTTAGTGGTCAGACTAGCAGGGTCATGTTAGTGGTCAGACTACCAGGGTCATGTTAGTGGTCAGACTAGCAGGGTCATGTTAGTGGTCAGACTAGCAGGGTCATGTTAGTGGTCAGACTAGGTCATGTTGTTAGTGGTCAGACTAGCAGGGTCATGTTAGTGGTCAGACTAGCAGGGTCATGTTAGTGGTCAGACTAGACCAGGGTCATGTTAGTGGTCAGACTAGCAGGGTCATGTTAGTGGTCAGACTAGCAGGGTCATGTTAGTGGTCAGACTAGCAGGGTCATGTTAGTGGTCAGACTACCAGGGTCATGTTAGTGGGTCAGACTAGCAGGGTCATGTTAGTGGTCAGACTAGCAGGGTCATGTTAGTGGTCAGACTAGCAGGGTCATGTTAGTGGTCAGACTAGCGGGGTCATGTTAGTGGTCAGACTAGAAGGGTCATGTTAGTGGTCAGAGTAGCAGGGTCATGTTAGTGGTCAGACTAGCAGGGTCATGTTAGTGGTCAGACTACCAGGGTCATGTTAGTGGTCAGACTAGCAGGGTCATGTTAGTGGTCAGACTAGCAGGGTCATGTTAGTGGTCAGACTAGCAGGGTCATGTTAGTGGTCAGACTACCAGGGTCATGTTAGTGGTCAGACTACCAGGGTCATGTTAGTGGGTCAGACTAGCAGGGTCATGTTAGTGGTCAGACTAGCAGGGTCATGTTAGTGGTCAGACTAGCAGGGTCATGTTAGTGGTCAGACTACCAGGGTCATGTTAGTGGGTCAGACTACCAGGGTCATGTTAGTGGTCAGACTAGCAGGGTCATGTTAGTGGACAGACTAGCAGGGTCATGTTAGTGGTCAGACTAGCAGGGTCATGTTAGTGGTCAGACTAGCAGGGTCATGTTAGTGGTCAGACTAGCAGGATAAGGTGATGAGTCCCATCATCAGCCAGCTCTCAGCGCTGCTGAGGTGATGAGTCTTATCATCAGCCAGCTCTCAGCGCTGCTGAGGTGATGAGTCAGAACTTGCTCTTAAAAGAGTGGAGTTAATGAGGTTTTTAGAGTTTCATATTGACATAAAATAAAGAAAATTAAGAATACAATAATTATGTTACTTTCTGATTACATTTTTGTGTGTGGATAGTCAGGCAGGAGAGTTACTGTGTGTGGATAGTCAGGCAGGAGAGTTACTGTGTGTGGATAGTCAGGCAGGAGAGTTACTGTGTGTGGATAGTCAGGCAGGAGAGTTACTGTGTGTGGATAGTCAGGCTGGAGGGTTACTGTGTGTGGATAGTCAGGCTGGAGGGTTACTGTGTGTGGATAGTCAGGCTGGAGGGTTACTGTGTGTGGATAGTCAGGCTGGAGGGTTACTGTGTGTGGATAGTCAGGCTAGAGGGTTACTGTGTGTGGATAGTCAGGCTGGAGGGTTACTGTGTATGGATAGTCAGGCTGGAGGGTTACTGTGTGTGGATAGTCAGGCTGGAGGGTTACTGTGTGTGGATAGTCAGGCTGGAGGGTTACTGTGTGTGGATAGTCAGGCTGGAGGGTTACTGTGTGTGGATAGTCAGGCTGGAGGGTTACTGTGTGTGGATAGTCAGGCTGGAGGGTTACTGTGTGTGGATAGTCAGGCTGGAGGGTTACTGTGTGTGGATAGTCAGGCTGGAGGGTTACTGTGTGTGGATAGTCAGGCTGGAGGGTTACTGTGTGTGGATAGTCAGGCTGGAGGGTTACTGTGTGTGGATAGTCAGGCAGGAGGGTTACTGTGTGTGGATAGTCAGGCAGGAGGGTTACTGTGTGTGGATAGTCAGGCAGGGGGGTTACTGTGTGTGGATAGTCAGGCTGGAGGGTTACTGTGTGTGGATAGTCAGGCTGGAGGGTTACTGTGTGTGGATAGTCAGGCTGGAGGGTTACTGTGTGTGGATAGTCAGGCTTACTGTGTGTGGATAGTCAGGCTGGAGGGTTACTGTGTGTGGATAGTCAGGCTGGAGGGTTACTGTGTGTGGATACTGTGTGTGGATAGTCAGGCTGGAGGGTTACTGTGTGTGGATAGTCAGGCTGGAGGGTTACTGTGTGTGGATAGTCAGGCTGGAGGGTTACTGTGTGTGGATAGTCAGGCTGGAGGGTTACTGTGTGTGGATAGTCAGGCTGGAGGGTTACTGTGTGTGGATAGTCAGGCTGGAGGGTTACTGTGTGTGGATAGTCAGGCTGGAGGGTTACTGTGTGTGGATAGTCAGGCTGGAGGGTTACTGTGTGTGGATAGTCAGGCTGGAGGGTTACTGTGTGTGGATAGTCAGGCTGGAGGGTTACTGTGTGTGGATAGTCAGGCTGGAGGGTTACTGTGTGTGGATAGTCAGGCTGGAGGGTTACTGTGTGTGGATAGTCAGGCTGGAGGGTTACTGTGTGTGGATAGTCAGGCTGGAGGGTTACTGTGTGTGGATAGTCAGGCTGGAGGGTTACTGTGTGTGGATAGTCAGGCATAGTCAGGCTGGAGGGTTACTGTGTGTGGATAGTCAGGCTGGAGGGTTACTGTGTGTGGATAGTCAGGCTGGAGGGTTACTGTGTGTGGATAGTCAGGCTGGAGGGTTACTGTGTGTGGATAGTCAGGCTGGAGGGTTACTGTGTGTGGATAGTCAGGCTGGAGGGTTACTGTGTGTGGATAGTCAGGCTGGAGGGTTACTGTGTGTGGATAGTCAGGCTGGAGGGTTACTGTGTGTGGATAGTCAGGCTGGAGGGTTACTGTCAGGCTGGAGGGTTACTGTGTGTGGATAGTCAGGCTGGAGGGTTACTGTGTGTGGATAGTCAGGCTGGAGGGTTACTGTGTGTGGATAGTCAGGCTGGAGGGTTACTGTGTGTGGATACTGTGTGTGGATAGTCAGGCTGGAGAGTTACTGTGTGTGGATAGTCAGGCTGGAGGGTTACTGTGTGTGGATAGTCAGGCTGGAGGGTTACTGTGTGTGGATAGTCAGGCTGGAGGGTTACTGTGTGTGGATAGTCAGGCTGGAGGGTTACTGCGTGTGGATAGTCAGGCTGGAGAGTTACTGTGTGTGGATAGTCAGGCTGGAGAGTTACTGTGTGTGGATAGTCAGGCTGGAGGGTTACTGTGTGTGGATAGTCAGGCTGGAGGGTTACTGCGTGTGGATAGTCAGGCTGGAGAGTTACTGTGTGGATAGTCAGGCTGGAGGGTTACTGTGTGTGGATAGTCAGGCTGGAGGGTTACTGTGTGTGGATAGTCAGGCTGGAGGGTTACTGTGTGTGGATAGTCAGGCTGGAGGGTTACTGTGTGTGGATAGTCAGGCTGGAGGGTTACTGTGTGTGGATAGTCAGGCTGGAGGGTTACTGTGTGTGGATAGTCAGGCTGGAGGGTTACTGTGTGTGGATAGTCAGGCTGGAGGGTTACTGTGTGTGGATAGTCAGGCTGGAGGGTTACTGTGTGTGGATAGTCAGGCTGGAGGGTTACTGTGTGTGGATAGTCAGGCTGGAGGGTTACTGTGTGTGGATAGTCAGGCTGGAGGGTTACTGTGTGTGGATAGTCAGGCTGGAGGGTTACTGTGTGTGGATAGTCAGGCTGGAGGGTTACTGTGTGTGGATAGTCAGGCTGGAGGGTTACTGTGTGTGGATAGTCAGGCTGGAGGGTTACTGTGTGTGGATAGTCAGGCTGGAGGGTTACTGTGTGTGGATAGTCAGGCTGGAGGGTTACTGTGTGTGGATAGTCAGGCTGGAGGGTTACTGTGTGTGGATAGTCAGGCTGGAGGGTTACTGTGTGTGGATAGTCAGGCTGGAGGGTTACTGTGTGTGGATAGTCAGGCTGGAGGTGTGTGGATAGTCAGGCTGGAGGGTTACTGTGTGTGGATAGTCAGGCTGGAGGGTTACTGTGTGTGGATAGTCAGGCTGGAGGGTTACTGTGTGTGGATAGTCAGGCTGGAGGGTTACTGTGTGTGGATAGTCAGGCTGGAGGGTTACTGTGTGTGGATAGTCAGGCTGGAGGGTTACTGTGTGTGGATAGTCAGGCAGGAGGGTTACTGTGTGTGGATAGTCAGGCTGGAGGGTTACTGTGTGTGGATAGTCAGGCAGGAGGGTTACTGTGTGTGGATAGTCAGGCTGGAGGGTTACTGTGTGTGGATAGTCAGGCTGGAGGGTTACTGTGTGTGGATAGTCAGGCATGAGAGTTACTGGTGTGGATAGTCAGGCTGGTGTGTGGATAGTCAGGCAGGAGAGTTACTGTGTACTGTGTGTGGATAGTCAGGCTGGAGGGTTACTGTGTGTGGATAGTCAGGCTGGAGGGTTACTGTGTGTGGATAGTCAGGCTGGAGGGTTACTGTGTGTGGATAGTCAGGCTGGAGGGTTACTGTGTGTGGATAGTCAGGCTGGAGGGTTACTGTGTGTGGATAGTCAGGCAGGAGAGTTACTGTGTGTGGATAGTCAGGCAGGAGGGTTACTGTGTGTGGATAGTCAGGCTGGAGGGTTACTGTGTGTGGATAGTCAGGCTGGAGGGTTACTGTGTGTGGATAGTCAGGCTGGAGGGTTACTGTGTGTGGATAGTCAGGCTGGAGGGTTACTGTGTGTGGATAGTCAGGCTGGAGGGTTACTGTGTGTGGATAGTCAGGCTGGAGGGTTACTGTGTGTGGATAGTCAGGCTGGAGGGTTACTGTGTGTGGATAGTCAGGCTGGAGGGTTACTGTGTGTGGATAGTCAGGCTGGAGGGTTACTGTGTGTGGATAGTCAGGCTGGAGGGTTACTGTGTGTGGATAGTCAGGCTGGAGGGTTACTGTGTGTGGATAGTCAGGCATGAGAGTTACTGTGTGTGGATAGTCAGGCATGAGAGTTACTGTGTGTGGATAGTCAGGCAGGAGAGTTACTGTGTGTGGATAGTCAGGCTGGAGGGTTACTGTGTGTGGATAGTCAGGCAGGAGAGTTACTGTGTGTGGATAGTCAGGCATGAGAGTTACTCAGTAGACAAAATATTACAAGTTCCTGCGAGACAGGATCAGGTATAACGTTTGGGGTTTACGGCTCATGTGATGATATGGAAAATTAGTTTACTGAGAATTATATAAGATATATATAAATGTAATAATTTCCCCTGTAAATTAATGTAAATATAATCTCCAATTTTGTAAATCATTTAAAGAAAAATAAGTATAACATTTAAGGGTTTTAAAGATCGTGTTCTGTGATAATGAAACACTTGTTTACTGAGAATTATACAACAGTATATGTAATGTAGTATTGCCTTGTAAACTTATCAATATATGATTTATAGAATATTTTCTTAAATTAAGATAAAAAAAATGTTTCGTCTGCAGACTATTGTTGGGTCTACAACCAAGCCATCCGCGGCACCTCTGTAGGAGCCGCTGCTGGGTCTGGCACCTCTGTAGGAGACGCTGCTGGGTCTGGCACCTCTGTAGGAGCCGCTGCTGGGTCTGGCACCTCTCTAGGAGACGCTGCTGGGTCTGGCACCTCTGTAGGAGACGCTGCTGGGTCTGGCACCTCTGTGGGAGACGCTGCTGGGTCTGGCACCTCTGTAGGAGCCGCTGCTGGGTCTGGCACCTCAGTAGGAGACACTGCTGGGTCTGGCACCTCTGTAGGAGCCGCTGCTGGGTCTGGCACCTCTGTAGGAGCCGCTGCTGGGTCTGGCACCTCTGTAGGAGCCGCTGCTGGGTCTGGCACCTCTGTAGGAGACGCTGCTGGGTCTGGCACCTCTGGAGGAGACACTGCTGGGTCTGGCACCTCTGTAGGAGACGCTGCTGGGTCTGGCACCTCTAAAGGAACTGGTACCTCTGGAGAATCTAGCACACTTGGAGAGGATTCCGGAACAACGACTGAAGTGGACACTAATAAGACTCTCACCGTCAGAAGGAAACGTCAGCACTACTAACATTGATCGTTGCAGCGATTACATAACCCTGCACTACGAGAGATCACCTGTACGACTAGAGAACACCTGTACCACTAGAGAACACCTGTACCACTAGAGAACACCTGTACCACTAGAGAACACCTGTACCACTAGAGAACTCCTGTACCACTAGAGAACACCTGTACCACTAGAGAACACCTGTACCACTAGAGAACACCTGTACCACTAGAGAACACCTGTACCACTAGAGAACACCTGTACCACTAGAGAACACCTGTACCACTAGAGAACACCTGTACCACTAGAGAACACCTGTACCACTAGAGAACACATGTACCACTAGAGAACACATGTACCACGAGAGAACACCTGTAACACTAGAGAACACCTGTACCACTAGAGAACACCTGTAACACTAGAGAACACCTGTACCACTAGAGAACACATGTACCACTAGAGAACACCTGTACCACTAGAGAACACCTGTAACACTAGAGAACACCTGTACCACTAGAGAACACCTGTAACACTAGAGAACACCTGTACCACTAGAGAACACCTGTAACACTAGAGAACACATGTACCACTAGAGAACACATGTACCACGAGAGAACACATGTAACACTAGAGAACACTGGCACAATTAAAGAACGCAAGCACGGCTAGAGAATAATATAAGGAGAGAGAACCGTTGTGAGCAAGGAGCGCCCCCAGGCGGTGACACCCTGGCCGCCGCTCTCTGCCTCAAACACCTTCTTGCTATTATTATATTAACATGTGTATAAAACCTGTTTTACCTTGAAGACAAATTAATTATTTTGTATATTAAGGATTTGTACAGTTTTATGCCAAGGTTAGTTGATGGCTTTTGGTTTCGGTAACAATTATTTCCCAACCCGTCTTTATCTAGGCTGGTTAAAGCAGCGGCCGTCCTCCCCAGACGCATTCATCAATTTTAACATTCTGTGTCTTAAAAATGAGTTTGTTCTTATATATAAATTAATATTCTTATACATAAAAATTCCATGTATAGCTAGGCGTAAGTTAGGTTAGGTTTTTAGGTTCTGTTGCCGATTATTTGTATTTGAAGTACGTGGGCGAAGCATTTATAGAATTGTGGTTCCAACAGAGGACGTGAGCGACGCACTTGTTCCGGAAGTGTTCGGACGTCATCATTTGTGAGTCGTGTGTAAACCGCTTTTCAATTTTTCAACACAGATCACCAATATCGTGCAACTAAAATAGTCACAGAAACAATATGTACTCATAACGGACCCCTACACACAGAGGGGGGTCTGAAACCACCACCAAGAGCAAACATACCAGTTGGAGGCACAGCTCCAGCACACTACTATTGCCATCAATCCGGACATTCAACGGGAAAAAAACGTCGTCATGATATGCCTCAGAATAGAGGCGGCACACATGGCTGGGAGGGGGGGGGGGTGCATAAGAACGAGAGCGGCCAGAGTTTGGGCGAAATACTTCAAACCCCCACACAACTCAGGGCCAGCAGCCCACCTTCACCAGGGTCAACGACCTCACACTACATGTCACCAACACCGGGCGGCACACAAGCAGTTACAGGCACCGCATGCACCGTTTCCCGCTCTGGCAGTGCTACCTACACTGCCTCATCCACCTCTTCCTCATCATTCATCCACTTCCCCAACGCCTCCACACGGTCCACACCACCAATGGACCGCGCCCTGGCAGTGCCCTTCTTTCGCTTCACTCTAAGAGCCACCCCACCCGTGCACGAGTAATCCAGCACATTGCAAGAAGACCGCACTCCTCCCACCAGAGAGACGGCAGAAACCGACACAGGGACCAAGGAAATCCCCGCGACCAGAGGCACCACAGTCGGCAGCGAGTGCACCAGGGACGCACACCAAACCCGACGGGGACAGCTCCATGGGCTCCGGGAATAGCACCACAGCAGACGTCACATCATGTATCTCCACCAGCACTGTCTGCATTACACATAGACCCATAAGTGGAACGGCATCCACACACCCCGGCCCAGGGACAGCCCCCAAAGACACAGACTGGCTCTGCACCAGCCACTGCAACAGGCTCCACAGCAGGCAGGCTGAAAGGTCAACACCAACATCCAACACGACTGGTGAAGCCTCTGGAGAAGGGAGGAGCGGGAAATCACCCTCCCTGAAGATGTTCACACAAGCAGCTCCCACGTCGCAAGCTGCAGCCAGAACACCCTGGAGACCACACCGAAAACAGGTCCCCCACCAGGTCCGTGAACGTCACACTGAGTACCTCCATAAGTGCGATGTAAAGCCAACAGGTTCCGAAGACTCCAGGCCAACCGACGACGTCCGCTTGAGAGGAGGCAGGGACGACCCCATCCCGGAGCAACTGCAACCTTCACCAGCAGGATACCGGACAGGGCACGATAACAAGTCACCCAACCACCGACCGCACGCCTCACCCAGCAATTGAGGAACAGGGCGGGGTCCTCCTGGAACCACCAATGTACCATGCTCATTCGCTGGTCGACCGCCACAGGGTCCGCACCCTGTGGCGGTCGACCAGCGAATGAGCATGGTACATTGGTGGTTCCAGGAGGACTTGACCACCAATGCAAGCCACGTGATGACTCAAAATGGCGACCTTTAAGCCCCCACGGACCACCACCTCAGACCATGCCGGCTTGGCCGTGAGGTGACGGGAGTTGGCGGGTCGTGGTGAGCTCCAGGTGTGGCCTCAGGCGTGGTGGGCAGCTGGCTTCTGCTCTGCCGGAGGGCACTGGATGACTAGCGTGTTGATGGTTTTGCTACCCAGTGTTCTGAGTGGGGGCGGGGCCGGTGATCGTCATCCTGAGGGACTCCTGGGGCTCCCCGATCATCTGCCTGTCTGCGTTTCTTTACCGCGAGACATATTAGTTTCCAGTGATTGGCGTCACTCGTTTCGCGATTAGGCTTGGCGTTTCACCTTTCCGGGCTTCGCGATTAACCCTTCACATGTGCGCCGGGGCGCTTCCGATCCCACGATAGTTGTCGCCCTAAATCAACAACAACAACGACACAGTGGATCCAGTAAGGCATCTTATGAGGAGTGATTACAGTGCGTACGGTGGGTGGCAAAGGTTATACACATTAAACTCCTTAGAGCTTCGTGTATGTGTTTACTAGTTGTGTTTTGCGGGGGTTGAGCTTTGCTCTTTCGGCCCGCCTCTCAACTGTTTACTAACTACTTTTTTTTTTTTTTTTCCCCCACACCACACACACACACACACACACACACACCCACCCCAGGAAGCAGCCCGTGACAGCTGACTAACTCCCAGGTACCTATTTACTGCTAGGTAACAGGGGCACTTAGGGTGAAAGAAACTTTGCCCATTTGTTTCTGCCTCGTGCGGGAATCGAACCCGCGCCACAGAATTAAGAGTCCTGCGCGCTATCCACCAGGCTACGAGGTCCCAGTGAGTAATGTGAGTATTGTTGTATGTAGGACGGACTATGTGGTTCTGGCCCAGAGGGAGATTTACAAATGTAGGATGTATGGAGTGGTGTGGTGTGATGTGTGGTGTAGGGTGGTGAGGAATGGCGTGGTGTGTGATGTGGATGGCGTGGCGTGTATTTGAACATTCGGACCTAGAGGAAGTCGTGGGTGTAGTGACTGGCGAGGAGAGGTGTTACCAACACCCCAGGTATGGCCGGTAAGCATCCCGGTGTGTCAAGTCACCATCCTAGGTGTGGCCAGCAGCCCAGACGTTGTCAACACTTCAGGTATTGTCGGAATTCCAGGTGTGGTCAGCACAAAAGGGACGGCCCCAAGAATGTCCAGCACATGCATGTGTCTCCATCACCTCAGGTCTTGCCAGCACCCCAGGTGTGGCCAGCAACTCTGTTGTGGCCAACGCCTCAGCAGAGGCGTTGACCAGCACCTCAGTTGCTGCCAGAATCAGGTGTGGCCAGCACCTAAGGTGTACTAAGCACCCCAGGTATGGCCAGCCAGCACCCCAGGTGTGACCAGCCGGCACCCCAGGTGTAGCCAGCCGGCACCCCAGGTGTGGCCAGCCGGCACCCCATGTAACACCACTCTAAAGTGTACTACTAAGGGAGCTGTAACACCCAGGACCTCCCCCCCCCCTTAGAGTTCACACCCAGGGAAGCCTTCTCCAATAGGTCAGCCCAGATGACCTCCGGTTTATCTTGTATGTTGATTAAAAAAATTCCTGGGTTAGTCTTAGTCAGCATAGTTTCAAGTATGTAATATTTCATGCAAGGAAATTAGACTCCAGACTCTTATGTGTAAACATCCTTGGATCTCCCCTTTTTGGCCAGGTCAGAGGTCAGTCGCACACGTAATTAATAACTCCTCTCTTGAAGAGTGTATGGTGAATGTCAAACAAGCTTATTGAAATATATCTTGAGTGTTTGTACACTCTTGGGGCAGGTAGTAACAGCAGATCTCCCCCCTCTCCCCTGTGGGGGTTGTATATAGAGGGCCTGTAGGGACTTAGAAAGGGCAGAGTGCGGGACACCGGGGTCCAGAGAGGGCTGTGAAGATCATCTCAGCCAGGGAGAGACAGGTCTTAAGGTAACGTGTGTGATCTCTGAGTTTCTGTTCCATGTCCAAATTTCTTAACTTTTTGCCAGTGTTAGAGTAGGATTTATAAGTGGTGATTGACATAATTTTGGTCTCAATAAAACTCGTTAAATTTCCCGTCTGTGTCAATTGTTGAATCCTCTTAGCCTTTTGGATATAGTGGCTGACAACAGTTTTCATAATTAATGACAGTGATAGAAAGTACTCTCCAAGTCAAGCAATGTTTCTTGCCTCGTTGCTTGATATAGTCTCAATGGTCAAAGGCAGATGGTGGCAGCGTATTTCATCCTGTGTTAGCATCTTCTTGTTGGCAGTGTACTTTGTAGTTCCGGTGTAACCATCATATGTCAGCCCATAACAGTGTTACCAAGTGCAACCGATGGGGAAGTGTTACTCAGGATAAGTAGTGTTTACTTTATTAGTTTAGTGTTCCATTATAGTGGTGTTCCATTATGGTGGTACACTTTAGAGTGGTGTTACACCCAGGTGTAGCCAGCCGGCACCCCAGGTGTGGCCAGCCGGCACCCCAGGTGTAGCCAGCCGGCACCCCAGGTGTGGCCAGCCGGCACCCCAGGTGTAGCCAGCCGGCACCCCAGGTGTGGCCAGCCGGCACCCCAGGTGTAGCCAGCCGGCACCCCAGGTGTGGCCAGCACCAAAGGTGTGACTCTCGCTTGTAGTCATGACGATTGCCAAATACAGCGCGTGTTTTTTGTAGTTTGTAATAAATTCACCTGGAAAAGTTTGCAGTGTTTGTTATTATCCTTGTTAGTAGTCACTGTAGAGCTGTGGTACAGTCACTGTAGAGCTGTGGTACAGTCACTGTAGAGCTGTGGTACAGTCACTGTAGAGCTGTGGTACAGTCACTGTAGAGCTGTGGTACAGTCACTGTAGAGCTGTGGTACAGTCACTGTAGAGCTGTGGTACAGTCACTGTAGAGCTGTGGTACAGTCACTGTAGAGCTGTGGTACACTCACTGTAGAGCTGTGGTACAGTCACTGTAGAGCTGTGGTACAGTCACTGTAGAGCTGTGGTACAGTCACTGTAGAGCTGTGGTACAGTCACTGTAGAGCTGTGGTACACTCACTGTAGAGCTGTGGTACAGTCACTGTAGAGCTGTGGTACAGTCACTGTAGAGCTGTGGTACAGTCACTGTAGAGCTGTGGTACAGTCACTGTAGAGCTGTGGTACAGTCACTGTAGAGCTGTGGTACAGTCACTGTAGAGCTGTGGTACAGTCACTGTAGAGCTGTGGTACAGTCACTGTAGAGCTGAGGTACACTCACTGTAGAGCTGTGGTACACTCACTGTAGAGCTGTGGTACAGTCACTGTAGAGCTGTGGTACAGTCACTGTAGAGCTGTGGTACAGTCACTGTAGAGCTGTGGTACAGTCACTGTAGAGCTGTGGTACAGTCACTGTAGAGCTGTGGTACAGTCACTGTAGAGCTGTGGTACAGTCACTGTAGAGCTGTGGTACAGTCACTGTAGAGCTCTGGTACAGTCACTGTAGAGCTCTGGTACAGTCACTGTAGAGCTCTGGTACAGTCACTGTAGAGCTCTGGTACAGTCACTGTAGAGCTCTGGTACAGTCACTGTAGAGCTCTGGTACAGTCACTGTAGAGCTCTGGTACAGTCACTGTACAGCTCTGGTACAGTCACTGTAGGGCTGTGGTACAGTCACTGTAGAGCTGTGGAACAGTCACTGTAGAGCTGTGGTACAGTCACTGTAGAGCTGTGGTACAGTCACTGTAGAGCTGTGGTACAGTCACTGTAGAGCTGTGGTACACTCACTGTAGAGCTGTGGTACACTCACTGTAGAGCTGTGGTACAGTCACTGTAGAGCTGTGGTACAGTCACTGTAGAGCTGTGGTACACTCACTGTAGAGCTGTGGTACAGTCACTGTAGAGCTGTGGTACAGTCACTGTAGAGCTGTGGTACAGTCACTGTAGAGCTGTGGTACAGTCACTGTAGAGCTGTGGTACAGTCACTGTAGAGCTGTGGTACAGTCACTGTAGAGCTCTGGTACAGTCACTGTAGAGCTCTGGTACAGTCACTGTAGAGCTGTGGTACAGTCACTGTAGAGCTGTGGTACAGTCACTGTAGAGCTCTGGTACAGTCACTGTAGAGCTCTGTTACAGTCACTGTAGAGCTCTGGTACAGTCACTGTACAGCTCTGGTACAGTCACTGTACAGCTCTGGTACAGTCACTGTAGAGCTCTGGTACAGTCACTGTAGAGCTCTGGTACAGTCACTGTAGAGCTTTAGTACAGTCACTGTAGAGCTCTAGTACAGTCACTGTAGAGCTCTAGTACAGTCACTGTAGAGCTCTGGTACAGTCACTGTAGAGCTCTGGTACAGTCACTGTAGAGCTCTGGTACAGTCACTGTAGAGCTCTGGTACAGTCACTGTACAGCTCTGGTACAGTTACTGTACAGCTCTGGTACAGTCACTGTAGAGCTCTGGTACAGTCACTGTAGAGCTCTGGTCCAGTCACTGTAGAGCTCTGGTACAGTCACTGTAGAGCTCTGGTACAGTCACTGTAGAGCTCTGGTACAGTCACTGTAGAGCTTTAGTACAGTCACTGTAGAGCTCTAGTACAGTCACTGTAGAGCTCTGGTAGTCACTGTAGAACTCTGGTACAGTCACTGTAGAGATCTGGTACAGTCACTGAAGAGCTCTGGTACAGTCACTGTAGAGCTTTAGTACAGTCACTGTAGAGCTCTAGTACAGTCACTGTAGAGCTCTAGTACAGTCACTGTAGAGCTCTGGTACAGTCACTGTAGAGCTCTGGTACAGTCACTGTAGAGCTTTAGTACAGTCACTGTAGAGCTCTAGTACAGTCACTGTAGAGCTCTGGTAGTCACTGTAGAACTCTGGTACAGTCACTGTAGAGATCTGGTACAGTCACTGTAGAGCTCTGGTACAGTCACTGTAGAGCTTTAGTACAGTCACTGTAGAGCACTAGTACAGTCACTGTAGAGCTCTAGTACAGTCACTGTAGAGCTCTGGTACAGTCACTGTAGAGCTCTGGTACAGTCACTGTAGAGCTCTGGTACAGTCACTGTACAGCTCTGGTACAGTTACTGTACAGCTCTGGTACAGTCACTGTAGAGCTCTGGTACAGTCACTGTAGAGCTCTGGTACAGTCACTGTAGAGCTCTGGTACAGTCACTGTAGAGCTTTAGTACAGTCACTGTAGAGCTCTAGTACAGTCACTGTAGAGCTCTGGTAGTCACTGTAGAACTCTGGTACAGTCACTGTAGAGCTCTGGTACAGTCACTGTAGAGCTCTGGTACAGTCACTGTAGAGCTTTAGTACAGTCACTATAGAGCTCTAGTACAGTCACTGTAGAGCTCTGGTAGTCACTGTAGAACTCTGGTACAGTCACTGTAGAGATCTGGTACAGTCACTGTAGAGCTCTGGTACAGTCATTGTACAGGTCTGGTACAGTCACAGTACAGGTCTGGTTCAGTCACTGTACACGTCTGGTACAGTCACTGTAGAGGTCTGGTACAGTCACTGTACAGGTCTGGTACAGTCACTGTACAGGTCTGGTACAGTCACTGTTCAGGTCTGGTACAGTCACTGTAGAGATCTGGTACAGTCACTGTAGAGCTCTGGTACAGTCACTGTAGAGGTCTGGTACAGTCACTGTACAGGTCTGGTACAGTCACTGTACAGGTCTGGTACAGTCACTGTACAGGTCTGGTACAGTCACTGTACAGGTCTGGTACAGTCACTGTAGAGCTCTGGTACAGTCACTGTAGAGGTCTGGTACAGTCACTGTACAGCTCTGGTACAGTCACTGTACAGGTCTGGTACAGTCACTGTACAGCTCTGGTACAGTCACTGTACAGCTGTGGTACAGTTATGCTCACCATATATCTGACAGAAATTGTTCAGTGTTTTCTGTCATTATATCTTTTTATGCGACCATAACAAGTCAACAACAGGATAATACATCCACAACAGGATAATACACCCACAACAGGATAATACACCCACAACAGGATAATACACCCACAACAGGATAATACACCCACAACAGGATAATACACCCACAACAGGATAATACACCCACAACAGGATAATACACTCACAACAGGATAATACATCCACAACAGGATAATACACTCACAACAGGATAATACACCCACAACAGGATAATACACCCACAAGAGGATAATACACCCACAACAGGATAATACACCCACAACAGGATAATACACCCACAACAGGATAATACACCCACAACAGGATAATACACTCACAACAGGATAATACATCCACAACAGGATAATACACCCACAACAGGATAAATACACCCACAACAGGATAATACACCCACAACAGGATAATACACCCACAACAGGATAATACACCCACAACAGGATAATACACCCACAACAGGATAATACACCCACAACAGGATAATACACCCACAACAGGATAATACATCCACAACAGGATAATACACCCACAACAGGATAATACACCCACAAGAGGATAATACACCCACAACAGGATAATACACTCACAAAAGGATAATACATCCACAACAGGATAATACACCCACAACAGGATAATACACCCAGAACAGGATAATACACCCACAAGAGGATAATACACCCACAACAGGATAATTCACCCACAACAGGATAATACACTCACAACAGGATAATACACTCACAAAAGGATAATACACCCACAACAGGATAATTCACCCACAACAGGATAACACACCCACAAGAGGATAATACACCCACAACAGGATAATTCACCCACAACAGGATAATACACCCACAACAGGATAATACTCCCACAACAGGATAATACACCCACAACAGGATAATACACCACAACATACACTCACAAAAGGATAATACACCCACAACAGGATAATACACCCACAACAGGATAATTCACCCACAACAGGATAATTCACCCACAACAGGATAATACACCCACAACAGGATAATACTCCCACAACAGGATAATACACTCACAACAGGATAATACAGCAACAACAGGATAATACACCCACAACAGGATAATACAGCAACAACAAAAAATCTAATGTTATTTATTTCATATACTCTTGGGTAAGAGCTACAATACAATGTGTTATAATACTTTAGAGCTTGTAAGAGATAGAGTCTTAGAGCTCTGTGACGCACGCTCACCACTCTCTGTAGAGCCTCCACAATGTAAGACATTTTGTGGCTTAGAGCCTTGAACACTATACTAAGGATCGAAGTCTCAAATTCTACTATGAAACCTTGGGACATCTGTAGCCAGCAAGGTTAATGCCAACCCCCCTAACTCTACCCCACAGTTGAACCCTCTAGTCACACACACTCATCTCTCTCTCTCTCTCTCTTCCCTAAGACTCTTTAGTGTGACTCTATAAGACCCATTGATGTAGGTCGCTCCTGGCACTCTTGAGATGGTGTCCTTGGCCCTCCTTTAACTGGTAATGGGCTGCCTATAGGCATAGTTAGGCAACCGATCACACGCTCACCCGGCGGCGGCGGCGGGGGGTGAGGGTGTTGGGAGCTGGTGTGGGGCGGCCTGGGCTTGTCCTCACACCTTGGTCTATATGGTAATTAAATATTATTTCATGAACTAGAGTTATTGTGAACTTTATTCCGGATTTCTAAATGGAGGAAACAAGATTTCAGTTGAAGAAAGACGGGAATGTAGCAATGTTTTCCTTAAACTGGCGGAGATGTCACAGAATTCAA